ATATAATATTACAATGTGCTTTGGAATTAAACGTTTTGGAATGTGAAGATTTTCCTCCCATTTTCCATTCTCCTGATCATCACTGACAGGGTCAAATCTCATTGGGCCACTCAGATATCCTCTTGCTTGTATTTTACCTGGTTTTAATCTTAGTCTTTAAATGAACAAAGTTACACAATTTTCTCATGTTTCAACCATTTACTTTCAGCAAATCATAATTTTGGTTTCAGTAAAAATTTAATCCAAAGAATCCAATTTGTAAAACATTCACATGTTCAAACACAAGGAGGCGCTCTCTGTCAAAAAAAAAAGCTGTTCAAAAAAAAAACACTGCTGTTCATTTATTCTCTACAACACACACTGAGAGCACAGATCAGAATAACATATACAAACACACACACACACACACACACACACAGTTTGGTGTACAGTGTTTTGATGATTTTAAATGTGCCTTATAAATAAACAAGCAATCTACAGATGACAAACGTCTTGATAATGTGTAATGTGTATTGAATTTAAAGACGTTTTGAGCTGTAACCACCAAATCATAATCAGCCATCAATTACACACTGTGTCTCTGCTGATGCATGTGAAACACTTCTGCATGACCACACTGTGTGTGTGTGTGTGTGTGTGTGTGTGTGTGTGTGTGTGTGTGCCACTTCTCTTAAAGTTTACTAGGGCTTTTTTTCATCTGCATTAACTCTGTATGTGAAGGTCTCTGTGTGTGTGGTGTGTGTGTGTGTGTGTGTGTATATGTGTGTGTGTGTGTGTGTGTGTGTGTGAGACTACCATTTACCCAGAAAAACCACAATGCAGACAGTGAGCTTAACACCCACACATTATAACACATACATAGACACACACACACGCACTCAGCAACTATGAGACATAAAACCTTTAACTGGAAAACATGTAGTGGACAAGAGACGACTGCGGTGTTACTAAAGCAACAATGTGTGTGATAAAGGTGGGCAGTATGACAGAAATATCATCTTGATACTTGATTTGAGAAGAAGCTAGAACAGACATAGAACACAGCAGAAAATGATACCTCGGAAAGCGAAATCCTCTTAGATATAGTGTATAATATTTCTCATTATGAAAAGAAATTTCTAAGATTACTAAGATATAAGACATAATAAGATTACTTATTTTTAGATGGCTTTTTGTGTTTTTTGTTGGTTTTCCAAATCTTTTGAATAATTTCATCTAGAAAAAAAAAGATCTATCTAGAAATTTCTCTAGATATAATTACTTACAAGTAAAATCATCAAATCTAGTTGATGTAATAGTATCTAAACCTTCTATTAATGAGTTTCTTGCAAGAATATATGATTCCTTAACATACAACACACAACATATCTCATACCTCTAAAAAGGTCATTTTACAAGAGAAAGAAAAATGTTCTTATTTTTAAAGCAAGGTAATGTAGATTTAAGGTGTATTTAATGTAAGGAGTTATTCCAAGTGATTTTGGACCATTTCTATTGGCCCATTCATCATGAAATCTTGACACAATGTAAATGACAGTTGGTAATTTAAATTTATGTCAAAATATGAAAAATGACAAAAAATGGAGATACAAAGTTTTGTCATGACAGCGACAATATATCATATATATTGCAATATTTGATATTTAAACGTCCTTGGGTTTGTGACATTATATAAATTGAACTTGAAAAATCAAACAATGGTCAATAAAATTAAGAACATAGGATGATGTCACAATGGGCTGCTGTCCAATCAGTTGCTTGTTACTATGCAGTTTATGCAGCTATGACGCACTGGTTGTTGTTATTATTACTGGCTTTATGCATAATTGGTCTAAACCTGTCTTTATGATCCCTGCAGTTGTTCTAGAAGGTCTACAACTATGGACCACCCATCATACACTCAGAAAAGAGGATAATTACAGAATGTATGACAGTAATGATAACATATAAACTGTCCAGCCCTCTAGTGTGAGTCTAATACAGAACTGTCTGTGACTGTAACAGTAAAACATACAGATGTGAGTAACTATTAAATATTACTGAAATGTTTGTGTTTACATTTCAATCAAACATGTGTGCGTGTGTGTGTGAGAGAGATAGAGAGAGAGAGAGAGAGGGGGAGAAAGAGCTATAAAAGCCACTTCCTGTTCTCTGCTCACCTCAGTTTTCTTAATAACTAAGAGACGCATCTGCTACATTCAGTCTTGCACGCACCGTGTGAGTGGGCATGTTGCTAAATATGTAGGAAGTGTGAAGTCTGGCTGAAAACCACGAATATCAAAAGTGTTTCCAGTGCTCTGTTTGACGTGGGATGAGTGTGCACATGAAAGCCCCCTCAGTCAATCAGCCAAGACAAATTTAGTGTCTGAAGTTTCCTTGTTTAGTTTTACACTAAAACTATAAGGCTAACAAGTAAATATGCACTCCGAGTAATATGGTGCTAACTGCACTTCTAGATCACACACTTAAGTCTGTTATTGTTTCTGTTATTGTTTATCTCTGATGTATCAATTCTGCTTTTAGTTTCTGTTTACCGTAAAGACAAACCAAAATACCATTGAACAGCTCGCACTATTTAAATGCAGAAAACCCACTGACCTCTTCTTTTTTTTAACATGTTTTCTATTTTAAATTGAGTAAATTGTATATGCTCCAGCTTCCCCCGCGACCCAGAAGTATAAGCGGCTTAGCGTGTGTGTGTGTAAATTGTATATGCATTCACCTACATAAATAACAGCTCTCTTCTGTACTTCTGTATTTCCTATAAAAGTGAGCAAATGTTTAGTTTAGTGTAGTATGCATATGAGTATGTGTAGAACTATAAATCTGTTAATGGATGAAAAAAAAAGGTATTGTATAAATGTCTCTACATGGCTCTGATAAAAAGTTATTTTATGAAACTGATAGTTCCAGTCCTAAAATCTGATTGGCTGAGACACGTTCGAAGCCTAAAATACACTATATACACAACACATATAACTGCCTCACAACAACTGAACACAAAAACCTCTGTGCTGTTAACGGAATAATCTTTGTCTGTAATGCTGCTCACACGTACCACTAAGTGTACTGATGAAGTAAGAACCTGTTTTTTGTTTAAACTGAGGAAAGGACAGCTTTTCTTAACTACTATTTTCTTAACTAGAACTAGACTGAACAGCCTAACATTCCATTATTAATATCACAGGGCTAAATTTAATTAAATTATTTACAATATGATTCACTGTAAAACGATAATATACAAGTGTTCTGAATGGCTTACACACTTCAAATGCCAGTGTTTCAGTTAGAAGTAGCATTAAACTCAGGCTGAATCTAAAACGGCTCTGTACTCCCAAAATATTGTGCTATGAAAGTTTTGAAATTGTAGTTTCTGCAGCCAAATAGTGCACTATTTGTTGAGGATGGGTGTGGCTCAATCCCAAATTTCTATTTGTCAGCTATATTATGCACTGTTGCGGTGCAGCAGCTGGTATTTAAGTTCGTAAGCAGTGAATTATGTAGGGAGCCGTTTGAGATTCAAGCCCAGCATCGTGGCTAAGAACACCCTTCCCCATGATAAAATTACAGTAACGCAGGGCCTCTTGTGGCTTATTGCTTTGATAGAAATGTTATAAATACAAGCTACTTCTTGATTTAAAGTGTTTGATACTACATAATGTTAGCTTCCAAATGTGCTAACTACTAGCCAGTTAATGTAGGCAAAGCATTTGCTACAATGGAAAGTGTTAGCTACATACAGAGTTTTAGCTAATAGTTCATATAAAGTGTTAGCTGCAAGTTAAAGTGTTACCCACAAGCTAATGTAAAGTGTTAGCTACAAGCTAATGTAAAAAAACAAATAGTAGTACACAAATCTTGTGCACATGTACAGATTTTGGTGTCACCAGAGCTGGTTTATGAGGAGCCTGGCAACTTCCAACCCCCCCCCCAACACATTATATCAAAAACAGGACAGCAGAGGGTGCCCGCGAGGGAATCCTCAATGAATGGGAGTAAATGGAGCTCAACAGCTAAAAAAAGAAAAGTTAAAATAGTTTCTAATCACTTGTCCAGAATGTTTCTTTAATTTTAGAAAGTAGAAGGATGTCTTACCTGTATATTTCCTTTTTTCTACAGCGGGTTTTGGGCAGCAGAATGCTGGCATTACTGCTACTGAGTGCTGTTCGCACTCACAGATGTCATGGATGCACATGGGGTGCCGTTTTAAACTCCTATAACTCAAGGTTAAAAGCTCTTAAAAATATAACAGCAGTGTTCAGGAAATAAATGTATTCTTTTACATTAAAAATGTTTAATTTGTTTTGCCCAAATTCTCCATCTTAACCCATTCATTTTGGACTCACTCGGGAGCGCCCTCTAGTGTTTGAGAAACTCGGAAGACATTGCAGAGTGGTAATTCTCCTCTCTACAAGTTCTCTGGTGTCAGTATCATGACATGATGATGGTGAGCACTTCAGTGAATACTGAAGAACATGGGTCCACTCACCTGCAGTAATAGCTGCTCTCTTCTGTACTTATTTCCTATAAAAGTAAGCAAATGTTTAGTTTAGCATAAGTCGAGCACTTTACTTTATTTAGTAAGTCGATCATTTAAGTAAACATCACAGAAGTTACGTCCAAGTTTTTTGAGATCAGAGATTAATGTAAGTTGTAATTCTTACCTACTAGCTAATATGAAGTGTTAGCTGCTGTAAAGTGTTACATACTAGTTGATGTAAAGTGGTTATAATGTTAGGTGGCATCTTAATGTGAAGTGTTTGCTAATATAGTGTAGATTTAGGTTAATGTAACATGTTAGCTGTTCAATATTATAGTGTTTGCTACTAGTTAGTATGAAATGTTAGCTATATTGAAATTAAAGCAACCCAGTGCTGTGAAAATGTGATGATAATCACCAGCACTTTTGATTTGAGTAGAGTGTCTAAAACTCATTGTCAGGCAGGTCTGGAGTGAGTGTGTGTGAGAGACAGAAGTGTGGGTGTGTATGTGGTGAGCGTCAGAGACAGTGTGTGAGTTGGACAATTGCTGGTTCACACTGCTGGAGAAAAGAGACACAGATAGACAGAGAGAGTTTGGAGAAACTTTGCATGCGTTTGGAGTCACTGTAGACAACACAGCGTAAAGAGAGTAAGGTAAGATTTATCTGTCTCTTCATCTCTCACTTTCTCTCTCTCTCTCTCTCTCTCTCTCTCTCTCTCTCTCGTTTTCTCTCACACATTCACATGTTAATGTTTTTGTTCAGTTCAATTCAAGTAAAACCTGGTCCACTAAGTAAGAAAGTAATTATTTTTTTGCATAGTTTATTTAGCTTAGCATTGGTTTTACATGTAAAACCAACCATAGCATGCAAATGTACACACAGAATACACAACCTAATAACAATAATAATAATAGTAATAATAATAAAAATAATAATACCACTGTTACATCAGTAATATGGACATTTGTTTCTTAGACCACATTTTACATTAATTTTATGGCAGAATGTAATGTTTATGTGATCAGGGTGCAACTGCGACAGAGCGAGAGAAAGAGAGAGAGAGAGAAGTAGTGGGCAAAGGAAGAAAGATGTAGGTGGGGGAGTTAAACAGACATGTCCAGAGTGCCGAGCAAAAGAAAAGAAAAGAAAAAAGAAAAAGAGACAATGGGAAAGAAGGAGAGTGAAAGAGTGAAAGAAAAAGAGAGAATGCTATTGTAGAAGAATAAATAAAAGAAACAGTCTCTATACTGCTGGGGGTGTTTGTAAAGTGAGGACTGAACTCAGACGGGCTTTGGCCTTTACCACAACAACAGAATTTTATTTTGTATGTCAGAATAAAACAACTTAAATTAACAGACAGAACATGTTGCCTTCAAGTGTATGTTTTCGTCTAGAGAGTAGGTTGGGCTAAGAAAATGAACATAAATTTCAGCTATTTCTCTGAATGTATGTAGGCCAATTAAAGTGATGTTAGGTGTGGTGTAAAATAAAGCTCCCTGTGAAACTACAGGTGATCTATGAGGACACATCTCCATCAATGTAAACATGTTTTCCAATTGCTTTAGCTATTCCATTTGCAGTCATGCTCATGGAACCCTCTGATGGCCAGGGTCCTGCACTACAGCCCCCAAAGGCCATTTAAGGTTTTTACAGCCTTGTTAAGGATATAGAGAACAGTGCAGTTGATGGGTGAAGCGGAGGTGTACTCTGTGTGATATGCAGGTACACGCTGTATACTCACTAGAAATCTGCAATGATATGTTTTTTGCCACTAATACCATTAAATGTGTAAATTTAATTCAATAATTTAAAGTATAGAATTAACACAGAAACCCAAATTTAAACAACAAGACATACAACTCTGTCTCACTCTGTCATGCTAGTAATGAATTGAAAAAAAAACTTAAAAGGGTCTACAAATGTGCATCACACAGATATTTCAACAAATAATTGCCAGGAATGCTTCATTTCTACCTTAAAATTGTAGTTTTGCTGTTGTTGGCCACCCCCTTTGTAATTTTAATGTCTGCCATAATATCAGAGTTTTACAGAAAAACAAGTTATTTCTTGTTTTACTGCAGCAGTGAGACAGTCTCTGCTGGCATGGTCACTTACTGATCCTCGTGAGCTAATGTTAGCTACTTGTAGAGGTGCATTTATGCAGGTACCTTCGATATGACTGAATTACTGTATACGCAACTAGAATGGTGAGAAATACCTTTGTGTTCGTGATTTTGTACTTGATTTTGTTTTGATTGTGACCTCGGAGGGGAAGGACATTTTATCCCATCATGAGTTGTATAGCCAGACTTCGTGTGTCTTTATTTAATGCTAGTGAGCTAGCAACTAGCTAACACCTCTAGACAAACCAGCATGAATCAGCATAGTTGGTCACCAGCAAAACCAACGTGTTGTGTTCTGCATGCTGGCGTGCTAGTGAGCAACAATGCAAGTTAATATGCTGATCACCAGCAAAACCAGCAAATTTGGATGAGTGTATGTAGCTCAACTAGCATGACTACCCTGGGTAACAAGCTAAATCAGCACCATGCCAGCACTAGACCAGCATAAACCAGCACAGACTAGATTAGGACGGCATGGAATAGTAGTGCAGGAGTGAAATAAATACATTAAAGCATGATATTTGCATTTCTAAAAAATGTAGTCCACTTGGAGGAACACTTTGAAGTCCAAAACTGTATTTTTCTGTCAGTTGCTCATTTGGAACATTTATATAGTGACAAATAAAGCTGAATATAAGGGTGGCATGGCACGTTATGCTGTACAACCTGTAATCTGCATCATCTCCAGTTCATTTTTGTAGAACACAAACAGCAGGAGGGAATCTGCCCGCTCTGCCTCTTTGTTGCTCTTATGTTTGAAACAACATTTTCCCCATAATGATTATTTATAAAAAATGAAGGAAAATACGTATAGTAAAAACATTTAGGTTAATATTTGAAGTGTAATTACACCATGAATGTAATGTATATGGGTGATGGGTGTTACTTAAGTTGGTATATGTTAGCGAGGCTAATCTTGCTAACAGCTAGTATTCACTCTTTTTTTTGACTAGACTGCATCACCGAGTGAATGAGCTTCCATAAAAGAAAAGGAGTGTTGAACGAATGGAATGAGTGTGAGAAATAGCTTTGCACGGCCGGTGAGAGTTTTCTGTGTGTGTGCGAGCGGTATTAAGAGATTACATTTCTCAGCACACTTACAGGCTGGTGTGTTCAGCATGGGAATCAGGGTGTGTAATGTGTTGGTTTTATAAAGGACACAGATAAATCCTCCTGTGGGAGTGAAAAAAGCTCTATAAAAACACTAACAGATTCAGGAAACATGTAAAATTATTGTTGTAGTTAGCATCATTCCCATATTAAGAATTCTGGGTCTAAGAAAAGTTGAAAAACTTCAAACCAGAAATAGTATTTCCTATATACAGTTTTCCCCAGAATGTCACCAGATTGAGCTGTCTAAATATGAATAATGCTACATACATGCTTCAAGCAAATACGTAACCTACTTTGTACTGTGAGTGGAAAATAAGGAATGAAATGTGGAATTTTGTCTAATACTCTGCTTAACCACCAGTGGACTGAGCAAAAAGCCGGTGGGCTGCCAGTTTTGCCCTTAGCGGGCCAACAGTGCCTCTTGTCTGTAGCCATATTCATATTTTGACTTCTTAACGACCTCATAATTCAGAGAATCCAGTGACATTCTGTGAAAAATATATTGGGTTTCAAACTGTTTTGTTCACCACAGGCTATGAGAGCAGCAATTTTTTTTAAAAACAACATTAATTTTACCCATAAATAAGCTTAGATAGTTCCTAATTTGGACGCGACACCAACTACAAAATGACAACATGACTTCAGAAGTCTGTTGTTCAAATGTGATGCAGTTAGTTCTGCCCAAACAATCTGATTAGCCTGGAAGTTTTCTACTAGTGTTGTTATGAAGAGGCAAAGTCCCTGCTCCATCTGCTTAAAACCTTTTGAATAGCCACTCATTTTGCCATATAGGAATTTTGATAACTGTTTAAAACTAATTGGAACCTGAAGTGTGAAAACTGTCAGTTTGCTACCATATAAGCACAGAAGCTACAAATACAATATAACATCTGAATAATTTGTGAGCCACATAGCTGTGAAGATTAAAATAAAACTACAGCGCTGTTTTCACACCTCTGACAAAAATGGATGCATGTTTCAACACTTATGGTGGACGAAGTTAAAGATATCACTACATTGTGAACGATGTAACTTGTGTGCATTAGGTCAGTGCTACTACCTCGTTGCAGTGCCAGCTGCCACTTCATGGGTGTGTAATGATGATGTCGTGCTTTGTAGTCGGTTTTGAGGAGACATTTCAGTATTCAGTACTCAGTTGGAACACTGATATATCGCCATATGTAATAGAATATAACAAGGCATGTTGTGTTGTACAACTTGTAATATGTATTACTTTCATTTCATTGTTAACTTAAATTTTAAACACAAGCAGGGGGTGATCTGACCAATTTCCTTCCCTATTTCTCATAACAGCATGTTACTTCTGGCATTGATCACCAGATGCTAAGCAACAACAAGGGTCACTAGTTCTGAATTGCTGGACTACTTTATTCAGTGGAACAAATATATATATATAAAACTGCACAAGAAACTCCAAACACTATTTCATATATATATATATATATATATATATATATATATATATATATATATATATATATATATGAAATAGTGTTTGGAGTTTCTTTTACCTCTCTTTCACTTGTTTATTACTTTTTAAAAAGAGAGCAATAAATTTGTTAAAGCACTGAAAATGGCTGGGATAAACTATTGTGACCAAATCACATCTAGGATTGTCTATAACATACAATCTCCACTGATATGTTGCCAAATAAATTACATAATTAATCACATAGTAGCATAATGTAACTATGTGTAAATTACACTGACATTCAATTTGCATTCTATATCAGCAGGTTTAAGTCTGCACTTCACCTTGCAGCTGTCTACATGGGGAGATAAGCCTTCATTTTCCTTCGACTCTGTGACCTCTCCTCCTGTCTGTATGATGTCTGCCTCAGTGAGGGATCCTCCACAAAGGAGGCGCTCTCTCGGCCCTGTTTCACCAAAGCGGATTTACAGGAACCTGTCTGTCAGACTGAGGGGCAGAGACACTCCCACTGAGGGGGAGGGGTCTGAGGGGCCCAGTCATCATAGCAAAGCAACAGCTAATGTAAGAAAAAAACACCTCCACTCACTCATTCATCTCTGTCACATATGTGAAAAATTATACATACAGTACAGTGTTTTCCAACCCCGGTTCTGGAGGTCCACTGCTCTGTACACTTCAGTGCTTTCCCTGCTTGAACACACCCACTTCAATGGGATTGTTAATGAGCTGATTAGTTGAAGCAGTGGTGTTAAAGCAGGGAAAAAGCTGAAATGTGCAGAGCAGTGGGCCTCCAGGACCTAGGTTGGGAAACAGTGATATAATATCAAAAACATCTACTGTCTACTACCATGTGTTTTAAGTGTGTTCAGCATCCTCTACACTTGAAAGGAATAGCTTGGACAAAATCAAATCTCGACCTATTTTCCTCCCTTAGCCCAAAAATAGTTGATCAGCCAAGACGTGTTTGGTGTCTGAAGTTTGCCTCTTTAGTTTTAGCTACATGGCTAATGTATCTAACAAATAATAAAAGTTTATACCTCACCATATAGCATGGTGCTAACTGTCTGCCTAAATCATTACACACAATAAATATTTTAAAACGTTTTGTTTAAATGGTGTTTGACACCATATGACATGGGCCAGATTCATAAAATGCGCCGCTAGACTTACCGTGGTATAATTGGCAAAGAGCATGGCGGAAATGTTTGCTCATTCATAAACAAGGATTATTCGCGTGTACCATTTGCACAACATGAAGTGTGGCCACAACATTTACATTCAGCAGAAGTGATTTATAATATAACACAATCCCGCAAAAATAACACCTGAACCACTCTGACAGTAATTTTCCCTGGTAAACTTTCTAGCTGCTGTAGTACACAAGGAGGAGAGGGAACTGGCTTGAGCAGGATTACAGACTGGCAGATTTAACTAACACTGTACTTTAAATGGCCTCTTTGAACTGATTTTTTAATTTTATTGCAAGCAGTTTTAGTTCAGGTTTTTAATCCTGGCATGCTAATCATGCCACAGTAACTTAGAACAGCATTATTTACTGTGCTGCACATTTTGTGTGGTGCAACACTGTTACTGGCCTCTGTCATCTACAGTTGGACAAAAAGTTTACGCACACTCAAATTTTTACACATTTCATGTTACCGTACACTTTTTTTGGTAAATTAGGACATCTGCTTTTTTCATGTCAAAGGTAAGATTAAAACAGTTGATATTTTAGATTTTAGATTATTTTAACAACTGAATTATTTTAACTTTAATGCTTTAATGCACTACATCAGATTTCTAGTGGGTTGAAAGTTTACGTACAACAAGTTAAATGCAATTAGGAGTTAATGGGAGTGCCCCTGTGGCTATATTTAAGGGCCAGTGCCTTTTCTCTCTTGCTACTATAGGAAAGTCCCATCCCAGTGTCTCTCTCTTTCTTTCTCTATTTCCCTTTCTCTCTCTCTCTGTAGTACACGTGTCTGTGGGAGGCTGTGGAGAGCGGGGATGTTTTGGCAGTGCAGACGCTGCTGTTTAAGGAACGAGTGAGTGAGGGAGGAGAGCGAGGAGCACAGAGAGAGAGGGTCGGCGTGGGGGAGAGAGAAAGAGCGGTGAACAGTGTAAATGAGCAGGGACTGGTTCCTCTGGATGTAGCCATCCTTACTCACAATTCCACATTGCTGCAGGTGCTGGTTAAGGCTGGAGCGAGACACAACCCAAACTGTGAGTGACAGCTACTACTGTGCCTCTGCTATACTGTTGTGCTAGTATACTACTACTGTACTAATATCCTAGTACAATATAACTACAGTGAGGGGAAATGAGTACTCAGACACTTCTGTGTTTGTTATTTAATATACTTCTAGTGCATATATCCACTTCAAATTTACACAGGTAGTGTCTTTTAACTTTGGACATAACAAAAAGTAAGAAGAGCATATTCATGAGCTTAAACAAAGGTCTGTTTATAAACTTAATTGATCGTAAAAAAGTTTTAAGACATTTTTTATATATGATGTCTTGTATAAGACCTTTGCCAGTGGTTGGGAACATTTCACACAACAATGTCAATCATGGTGAAGGTGAAGAAGCTTCCGAAAGTTCTCAGACAATATAATTAAAAACATAATAACAAAGACCTTAAACATCCCTGTCAATACAATTGGTTCAATAATAACTCATCAGAAACTGAATCTGGGAATAAGATGGATGTTTTAACAAGACAATGACCCCAAACATGCAGCCAAAATAACTGAACACTGGTTTCTAAAAAGAAGATGAAGGTGCTTGCATGGCTTAGCCAATCTCTGAAATGAATCTCACTGAAAATTTATGAACAACCCTTGTAACCTTGGGGAATTGAGGACAGTTTTTCAAGAGGGATGGGCCAACATTGAACCATAATGCTGCAAAAAACTGCTCTGCAACAACAAGATAACGTATGAATATTTTATATTTTTAACCCACCCCCAGTGAGTAGGCCGTGTGATTGGTCAGCAAAGTTGGATGGACTGGTCTCTTTGGCTGAACGGAGGGTGGAGGAGAGGAGGGCGGGGCTAAAGGCACATGGAGCGAAGCTACTGGCACAGACTGACACCCACAGAGATTTACGCTTGTGGACTGTCCGGCAGGAACTGTACACACGCATGAGAGAGAGATTTCACATGATGGGTACACACACACACACATACACAAACACACGCACACACACACACACACACACACACACACACACACACACACTAATCATATACACACATGCACTCACAGAGCAAACAGGCTCCCAGTGTGCATTTAACAAAGGTTAAAGGCCACAGCAGACTAGACGCATCACACAGATGCCACACACTGTCCAAAAATTTGTACTACTCTGCTGCTGTCATTCAGCTATGATGTGTGCAACTTCCTGCACTGTTCTATTTCTCTGAGTGCCACTGAGAGCCATTCATCAACTTACTGTTTCTGCATTATATTAAACTCAGGAGGAGACCACAAAAATCAGTTGTAGATCATTTTGGTGGAATTAGTTTTCAACTCTCTCTCTTCTCCAGAACCCCCAGGTCCTCCCAGTGCTGTTGCCCTGCAGATGCTCACTGACACTGCACTCAGTGTGTCCATCAGACCGCCGCAAGAACACATAGCCGGCCTTATTACCACCTACAGAGGTCAGTGTGTGTGTTTGTGTGTGTTTGAACTTTAACCAGGCCTAAAATTTTGCTCCAATCTCAAATATAGTTCTTTTCTGTTCGAGTCTGACCCAATGCGACACAGAGAGTTGTATTTTGAATATGAAGTTGACCCAAGTACAATATAATTCTCTCTGAAACTGCCCCAAAATTGCCCATCATCATCCAAAGTGCTGAGTAAGACCTGACAAATAAAAAAGGGTTGATTATTATCTGATAAAGCAAGATGTTAGATATGATGTCTTTACATAAAACGTTATATATTATATATCGAATATACAAAATAAAAACAATATTGTCCAGACAAATAAATTGCTTAAATGGGCAGGGCCAACTGGTGGGCCCACAGTTTTATTACACATGTCTATAACCAAAGAATAGTCCAGCCAGTTTGCATTGAACTCCCTGTACTGAATAATAAGCCTTCGTATGTAATAAGCCTGGGATTTTGAGGGGTTAAACAATTGAAAATCTCCTTGGCTGTGTGATCTATTTCAATGTACATATTTCCAATGCATTCATTTCTTACACTGTGGTTTTAAATGTCTCCATATAAAAGCTGGATCTTTTGTTTATATGAAGTTTATGGACACAACTGACATTTAATCTCTCTCTCTCTCTCTCTCTCTGTAGTTGAATGGAGTACCTGTGCATGTTTTAGCCCTCTGACTGGTTATGGATTTATTACTGACACTAAAAACCCTGTGTTCCACATCACTGGACTCAGCACTGTAATAATAATAATAATAATAATAATAATATTAATAATAATGATAAAGCTTTTATAGTGAGTTAGTAGTGTGATATGAATTAATTACAGTGCGTTTATATGTTTGTATTGTTTGTGTGTGTAGGGAGTTCAGTATTACGTAAGAGTATGTGCTTACAATATAAAAGGCTGGGGACCACCACGGAACAGCAGCCCACCCTGCACCACCCCATCCAGTAAGTATGCAAAATTGCAACATTAATTATTTGGCAAAAAAACAAATTAAAAGAAGATCGGCTGACACGTGTTTACTGTCTGAAGTTTTGATTCTTTAGTTTTGCAGGTTAGTATGGAGCTACCAGACTAATGTAGCTATCCAATAACACAAGCTTGCACCCCACCAATTAGCATGGTGCAAACTCCGTGCCTAAACCATCACACAAATAGCTATAAACAAGTGGATTTTTTTGGCCACAAACTATTTTAGTATATTCCAGTTTTGCAGCTGTTATCCTACTAACATTGTTTTAATGAGTTACCAAGCTAGATATGCTATTTAACTATTACAATGTAGTCTTTAGCAAGCTGACTTAATGTTCTATGTGCATTATTTATAAGTTTAAATCATTGAAAAATGACCAGCTGCTAGTGATTAATAGGCTAATTCAGCTTAGCACAGCAAGTACCAATACTAATACTAAGATGTGTTGATTGTGCTTTCCCAGGTTGGAATCAGTTGTCGACTCCAAGGCTTTAGACTCAAATCTATATAGAGCCAAACTCGTGCACACAAAGAGTGTGAACTATTCTGCTGTCACTAAGTGCTTTTACAAGTGCTTAACAATCCGATAACTGCAGGAAAACCAGATTTTTTTATACATTCAACACGTTTACATGCACTTGGATACTCAGATAATGGGAAACTCTGGGTTTACATGACTCAGGCTGTAATTTCTGCTTTACAACCCACCAATAAATTCACAGAATAAGATGTGACGTAAATGTAATGTAAAACTTCAACGTCATACTGTGGCTTTTTTATTTTTTACATATTGAGTCACTTTAATGTGTGAACATATATGTACATATACATACAAATGTACATTTTCTAGAATTCCACATTTCATCAAGCATGTAGTTGGTTTCAGTGTTGATCCAAAGGTGTTTTGTTGGCATCTCTTGGCTGCTGTGTTAAACGCTGCTTGCTGTTTCCAGGACAGTGCTCTGTTTTCACACATACACAGACAGAGAAAAACGGAAGAAATCAGAGTAAGGGTATCCATGCACTGAAAAACCTGATTTCTGAACTAAAATCCAGCTCACTTTATCAGATTTCTGGAAGTCTACGCCTTAATCTGATCTAAGAAATCAGAGTATACTGTTTACATGACCACTTGAATAAGTGCCGAACTCCGATAATTATTGTATTATTGGTGTGCATGTAAATGCACTCAGTACTGTATGGATAGCCTGTCTGAAAATGCATGCTTGCACAGCACACTCTAGATTGGCTGTATTTTTCCCTGGACAATGTGTAAAAGAAAGTAAAATGCACAATTTGCATAGTAATAGTATAATATAGTCATACAGCTTTTGCTAAATGACTAAATGTATGTGTCATCATCTGAGTTAATTCGGCTAGTGTTAACTCTCTAAATTGCAATGCTAAGGTCAAAAAGGTTACATAAGTAAACTGACATCTTGTGTCCCTGAAGAACATATAATTATGTCAAGATCATAATAATAGATTGTGTACTTCATATTGTACTTTCATATTTTGCAACATTTCCTTCCCTTTTGTTTGATGTTTTGATTTTTGTAATCAAGAATCAAGAAAAACAATTGTGTGGAATCGACCCATGAAACTGACTTCTTGTCAGAATCGACAAGTCAACTCCAAAATTTCTGGAACTAAACAGCCCTAGATAGCAGTAAGGCATACAGTGGCAGAAACTACATAAGCTGGTCTCCTGTACTCTCTTGCCCCCTGCAGGCTGGAGGCAGTGCAGCAGCGTAAAAATCAGAGGGAACACTCAGGAAGCAGCAATGCAGAAACTCCTGGAGCAAATCAGAGAACCCACCTACAGAGGATACTGCACAGGTAACACACACACTCACACACAAACACACCTGCAAAGTTAACACACCAGATTAAGCAATTAAGCTGTGGGATACAAAAAAATTGAGCCCACGCTTAGATGAAGATTTTGTATATGCTTTGTAAAAATGATGACAGCTTAACAGGGTTGCCAGCTTAGGTGAAGTGATTTGCGTGAGATTTTCAGGTGGCTGGAGTAAGATCATTCATGTTGCCTTTACTGGTGCATATTCATTGTTTACTTAAAGTAATTATTTGAACCACATCTCATACTCATTAGCATGCATATCTGTGGTTCTCAAACTCACTTGCCTCTGTATTCTTTTAATAGAGCCAGTGTTTCCCCCAAACAAACTCTGCTGCTCGGATTAAGCAGAAGTGACAATCTTGACAATCTTGCATGATGAAAAATACATAATGATACAATACATAATGAAACAAACTTAAATATCTTGCTAGATGATATGAATATGATTGAAGTAATTGACCAAAAAGTTGTTAAAGGGCCCATATCATGGAAAACCAAAAACCTCACTTTTTTGGCATAAAGTAATTTGTTATAGTATGTAAACATTGTTAAAGATTCAAAATGTATTGTTCGCTCCTCAGACAAGAATTCATATGCGGAAACTAAGCTGCAAATAAGCTTGTTTTGAATTCATTGTTTCTCTAATGTCATGAACAAACAAATCATTTACATATATCTGCCTTTTCAGCCTATAGCAGTTTAGCTCCACCCATTCACATTGAAGTTAAACGGAGCGTTTCAGCACAGATTGCTTTTTGAATGAGGCACAATACAGGGCAGCCAGTTGGAAGAGCGTTCATGTACGTGCATATATAACCCATTAATGCAAGGCTCCCTGCACTCGTGAAACCCAAAACTGGAGGCTATATAGACTCTGTGGTTAATCCGGTCATGCACATACACACACCTGTGTAGGTAATGCAACATACACACACCTGCTCATAGTGCAACAGAGGATGCTGCACAGCTAATAGAATAAATATGTTTTTTTTTTCCAGTATGGTTAATGTATTATATGTTTACTGTGTGTTTATATATAGAAAACCCAAGGCAGTTGAACTCAGCTAAGCGCATGTCCATGTCCCGCGGGCTCAAACAGTTCTTCCATTCTGCCACCAAGTTTGTGCGTCTACTGCAGAGGTGAGATAATATTTGAGCTTTAGCTCCACCCTCGGAAACTTTGTTTCCCTCTTCTAGCATTAGTGAACAATTTTGTAAAAAGTGCATGAATAAAAAATAAGTGTTAATTGTAACAGACTGAAGGGTTAGTTGTAACATTCCCTAGGAAATCCTGGTAAATTGGTGCAAACACAGTTAATGTTGTTTGAACAAGACAGGCTTTCCATCTGAAAACTACATAAAAATGTCTGTATCAAAATAAATATGATTAGTGAAAAATAGGAATGGTTGAGCAAAAAAAATCTAGTTTTTAATTTTCCACTTAGCCCAGATGTAGTCGATTAGCCAAGACATGCTTCTTTAGTTTAGTGTTGGAGCTACAGGCTAACATTGCTAACAAACACTAGAAGTCAATAAACACCAAAATCCTTTGCATATACACATCATTTACTGTGTCTTAGCAATGTTAGACTTGTAGCTCCAGTGGTGAACTAAAGAAGCAAAATTTAGAAGCCAAACTTGGCTGATTGGCTACATGAGGTATGTGCTTTTGGCTGAACAACTCCTGGCAGTTTTATATTTTACTATAAAGTGAAAGAGAAGTTATCAGCATAATGAAATTTATTTACTGTCTGATATCTATACATTTCTGATTAACCTGTGAAAAGTCCCAAAAAATAACTTATTTGAAATTAGTTGGTGGATGTAACTTGCTCCTATTGTTTACTTTGGGGGAATAACAATGCCATGTAAAGACTATGCTTCAGTTTATCTAGCACTCGCTGTGAGTTGTTTATAGGCTTCAAAATCGTCCTATGTAACAAACACCAAGAGTGTGTTTAATATAATACAGGTGTGAATTCTGTAACACATGGAAAATCTTACTTTTGTGGTGAATCTCGAGAAACATCTGTCCAGTTGCAGTCAAAGTTTGACACTGCTAAAATATGAACAAAAGCACATTCTCTTAGAGCTTATTTAGCTACATATCAGCTCTGTTCTGATGCTGATACTGTAATTAAACCACAGTCATGTTGATATTTACCATAACACATGGCCTCCAGTGTTCTATTGCATAAGCATGTGCAAATGCAAAAAAATCTTCTATTTTATGCAATTTCAAACTTCTGTTTTATGCAATTTCATTGGAGAATCAAGTATGCTGATGTGATCTGAAAGCATACCTTGTTCTTTGCTGACGGATTTTTCTGTTCTCTTTCAGAGGTGCATATCTGGCAGTTGTGTTCTACCAGAAGGACAATATCCTGGTCACAGCTGAAGATCAGCTCCCATTGGTAGAGATTCAATGCTGCTCCACTTCCATCACACAGGACTTTCTCTGGTTTGCCAAGGTCAGCTTTCAACCAAACAATAAAACTTTTGTCATATTCAGATGTTATGTATGATTAGCTGAGGGCAATTTTTTAAATACATTACATATGTCTGCTTTGCAGAAGCATTTAGTTTTGCTGCATGTCTTACAACAGAATTAGTCACGGCACAGGTTTACACAAACAATTCAGTGTCACTGTATTAACTATATTAAAATATGTATTAGTTCCCTAAATACAGCTGTGTGGGACATTCTGCACATCAGCAAAGACTGTTTCATTATTTGTAAACATGTCTCTGATAACCTTTACAATTACTAGAGTAATCCCTGTCATTTTGGTGTCATAACTAAACATGTTTACATAATTTATTACTTATTAGTTCATCATTATTTATGTTTGCCTGCATCAACAGATTTTAGTCTGCAATTCTGACTTTTTTCCATTTATTTCAAAGTTGAAAAATGACAAAAACACAGCAAAAATGTAAAGAATATTTTCTTTTTTGCTAAAAAAAAAAACTGGACACATCAGTTATTTTTCATTAAAATCACAAAAAATGTTGTGATTTGTGGACAAATGTGATATAGATTAAAAGTTTAGAATCTGCATTTACTAAAGAATTTCTCCTATTTAGGTACATAATTCATAAAAATTCCAGTATGATTGACATAAATGTGGCTTCTGAACAATAAAAAAATTAAGATTTCTTTTTTTCTCAGTTAACTGAATAACTTGTGTCCATCATAACAGACAGATATTTTTTGGATGTTGTTGTATTAAGTGTGCTTATTTGTGTTCTGTCTCCAGCTGTCGTGTGCATGGCAGCAGGTGTCATGGCTGCAGCAGGCCATGTCTTCATCACTATCCTCCTCCTCCTCACTTTTACAGAACAGACACTGTATCCTCAGAGCAATCAACCAGCTACAGGTACACACAGTACTTTCCTCTTTCTTCTACAGTCATCACAACAAGACGCTACTTACTCTCACCCTCTTTTCTTTCTTTTTCTTCCTTTCTCTCCCTCTCCCTGTTTCTCTCTCTCTCCCTCTCCAGTCCTCACTGGGCTCTGTTGATTTAGGCCAGGTGTATTTTGAGCCTCTGAAGGACCGCCAGGGTAATGTGCTGCTTGTGACCTTGAAAGAGGTTGTGACCTCGCTGACCCCTGCTGATCCCCATTTGCACTGGAGTTCACTCAAACACCTTGAGGCACGATGGAGCAGAACACATTTATTGCCTGAACCAACAGCTGTGGATACACTCACACAACAGCTCAGGGTACGCACACACACACACACACACACACACACACACAACATGATCAGATGTTCCTCAGACTCAATAAGGTCAACAGCTCCTCAGACTAAGTAAGATCAACAGTTCCTTAAAACTCAGTAAGGTGAAATGTTTCTCAGACTCAGTAGGGTCAATGGCTCCTAAGACACACAGATTCAGAGGCCAGTGGTCCTCATATTCAGTAGAATCAATGGCTCCTCAGGCTCATTAAAGTCAATGGTTCCTCAGGCTCAATAGAGTCGATGGTTCCCTAGACTCAGTAGGGTCATGGGTTTCTCAGGCTCAGTAGGGTCATGGGTTCCTCAGATTCTGGAGAGTCAGTGGTTCCTCACAGAATACTTAATCTGCTCCTAGAATCCTTTAGTTTGCCTTCACAGTGCCATGACAGTGGCTTAAGTGAGTGAATTCAAAGGTGCAAAATGAAACAAATCAATTAAAAATAAGTTCTGGTGATCAAAAGTACATTCTGTAGTCCATGCTTATTTAAATGTTTATTTAGTCCCCCCCAAATTCATAAGTACAAGTTCATACGTTATATGTCTCTCTCTGTAGAGGAAGTTGGAGTATCACAGACGGAGCCTCCAGAGAGCTCAGCCTGGCCTGTACGTTGGAATCCTGAAGTTGTGCAGCTCAGTGGAGCAGCTCAGGGTGTTAGTGCCCCAGCGTTTACCCAATCTGCTGTTTCACACACGCGTTCGCAACAACACCCATGTCTCACGGTAATGGAAGGGCTCATTACTTGCTTTTCTATTTCACTCTTCTGCAACATAGAGAAAGTTCAAGCCTCAGTCTGGATGTTTCAGGGCCAAATTACTTGTAAACGAATGGATGTCAGCATACTTAACATTTTAACCTCTCTTCAGGCTTATTACAACTTATAGCTTATTACTCAGTAACTACTTGGAAAACAGTGCAAAGAGGCTGAATTATTCCAAAATTACAGAAGTGTGTAAGAAATTAATTTTTGAATTATTATTATTAGTATTCTTCTTCTTCTTCTTCTTCTTCTTCTTCTTATTATTATTATTATTATTGTTGTTGTTGTTGTTAAGTTCTTTTAATATCCAGACTGGGACTTGTACTCTTATATCCAGTATTCAGTGAAATATCCCAATGTGTCTGTCTGCAGGGAGGAGTGGAGCTGGTTACAGAGGCACTCGATGGGTGGGGTCGCAACTGGGGATCCAGGGGATGGGGCTGATGGTTTGATTGGCAATGCTGGAGTGACGGAGTTTGTGAAAGATTTGAGGACTGCTGTTACACAACTACTGACCAAGCTCAACATTCCATTACACAGGGTATACCCAAACACACACACACACACAGAAATGTAATATCCACATTTTAAAATACATTATGAAAGGGTCCAGCTGTCCCATCATTCATAAACCAGTGACTACATAACAATACAGGTTAAATAAGATAGATCAACAAAACACAATCTTCACCATAATGTGCAGACTACCAAGTGTTAATGATACTGACTGACATTTTGTGAACTGTTTCGATTTTATATTTGTAAAACTGAGGATTTATCATATAATCATGAGTATAATTTGAGACTTGAACATCGAGCCGGACCTTCTTTTTGAGCCTAGGCATGTGGCGTTAATACGTGAAGATGTATGACATGGTCCAAAAAACCCCTGACTCAGTAACACTATTACTTTCAATTTTAACCAAAAGAAAAGCTTACATAAGGCAAGGTTTTTTATAGTAAGTTATTGCAATGGGTTATGAATTGCTTTGTCTGCCTTTGTTTTTTGAGTTTTAAAAGGGACATGTGTTAGGTTGCAATGATTTCTGGGTGGGTTCTGCTGCCGAAGTCAACACTTACCTTCACTCGGTCCCTCACACCCTTAAGGACTCTTCTAACACGCTGCACTTCAGTGCATACAGTAATGCTGACCTGCGCATCTTAAAACCAGTATTGAAGCGAGTGAATTCACAAAGCTTTACTGATTGGGTTTCCATCCAGATGGTCAACAAATATTCAGCTGGTTGTGTTTTTGTATGTGCTGGTTTATCCTGTTATACAGTGTAACAGCTTGTGTGAGATTACAAAGGACACACTGTACAGTTCCTTAAACAACATCTTCTCTCTGATATAGAGGAGCTGTTTTCCAAAATATATCCTGTTACATTCTAATATTAGGAAAAAACACTATCCCTTTAAATTAGCTGCTTTAAGAGTTTAATCTAATTCAGAAGCCAAAATCCAATCAGAACGGTTCCAAAAAACAATGTTTGTTCTCTCTCTCTCTCTCTCTCTCTCTCTCTCTCTCTCTCCCCAGGCGTATCAATATCGTTTGTACACTCAGGAGTTGGTGCAGGTTGGTGATGAAATATCTCTCCTCTTGCTGCTGCCTCCCAGTGAAGAGTTCAGTTCTAGTTTTTGGCCCTTAGAAGGTGTTCAGGACCCCGGGCTCACCATGCCGCTGCACATCTTTGAGCTGGGTAAGTGCAGCTATGGGCCATAAAATAAATAGGTCCTTTGTTAATTAGCCACTACCTGCAGTGGAATGCTGTCAGCTGTTATAGTAACTAGGGAGGTAAAAGCTAATCAAGCTATAATGTGTTGTGTTTAATTTTTTAATGACAGTTGGTGGGTAATTTTCTAATTTTTCAGATCACTAGTGTTTTATTAACCATAACAATGCCAGATGGACATAATGCTTGCAAGCTGCCCCCTCAACTTGTAACTAGGCCCCACAAAAAGAAATTCTATGACAATGATAGGACAATGTCTGTAACAAGGATGTGGTGCCAATAGGGCTATATCTCTGAAAGGGCTATGGTGCTAACAAGGCTATGGCGCTAACAGGGCTACGGTGCCAACAGCACTGTGGTGCTAGGGCCATGGCACTAAGAGGGTGCGGGTTTCTTTGTTTTTCAGTGCATTTCTGGGCATACAGTCATGACCTGCTGTCGCTGTACTGCCAAGCGTGGGTGAGGCTGGAGCTGGACGCGTATCTTGCCCAGCAAGCTCTGCGAGAGGCACTGGACAGCAGGGAGGTTTCAGAGTCCAGAGAGAGACTTAGCCACATCACACAGCTCTCTCAGGTAGGTTTACCTGCTCAAGTTTTATATACAGATTAGGGGTAGCAACACAGTGCTGCTATATATTGATTTTCAAAACAGGACTGATATTGTATTATTTAACTTTTGTGATTTCTTCAAGTGCATGAAGTCAGTTACTAAAATGCATTCTTATTCCACTAGACAATCATTTTGGGCCTCTAATGATTCCCAACCCTAATACACATCATTGCAGACTATTTTGTAAAATGTTTTTATGTTTGTTTTCCCTTCCTGAATAGTTTGTATATGTGTGTACTGTGTGCTTAGAGTGTGGAGGCTGTGTGGCGTGAGCGGCGGTGGATCATGGACGTGATGCAATGTGTTCGCTCGAGGCAGGGTTTGGGGACGGTGCCTCTCCACCTTATTATGGCCTCGCAGCCAATCAAATCACCCCATGAGGAAGCGGAGGAACAGCAGCCCCACCCATCACAAACACACACTCACACACTCAGCACAAGTGAGTTGATAACAGTATGTCATGCAGTGGCAGTAACTAGATAAGCAAGTCTAAATCTGTGGTTCCTGACTTCTGGGCCACTGTTTTATTATTATTGTTGATAATGTAATTAAAGGTGCAGGATACGATTCTGAAGAATGATTGTTGATATTTGAACGCAACTGGGCTAGCAAACTTGTTTTTTTTTAGATCTTTGTGGTCATAAAACCCTTCATAAACGATGTATGGACAAATACCATGACATAACATTAGAACAAACAACCACACAGGAAATAGTGTAACTTGTGGGTTACCAAACTGTCGCTACAATTGTTGCTGTGTAGCTAACCAGTTGCTATCACAAACATTAGTAAATGGTACAAAAGAGTACTGACCTACTGGTTCTGTGAAACAGCAAAAATAAGTTAATGTTGCCCACCTGTCAAGCAGGAGCAACCTCCTCATCTGTTTTCATGCTTTTCAACTCACGATAAAACTGAAGTCAGCTTCTCCTTCGTGAGCTTCTTGTTTAATTTTTCCTGCCTTAAATGTTGCAGCAGTTGCATTCTAGTGCCTCAGCTCCTTGTTCAAATTTTCCTCTTTCCCGTAAAGGGTTCAGTAGTTAGGCTATATTCAGGTGCCTCAGCCTCAGGCTCCAGAAAGGAACTGCTGCACGAGTTAAGGTAGAACAGGAAAATGATTTTTTTTTTTTTTTTACCCGATTTTCTCCCCAATTTAGTCGTCTCCAATTCCACCCGCTAGTTAGGACTCCCCCAATCACACGATGCTATCAACGCTAGGAGGGTGAAGGCTAACACAGGCTTCCTCCGAGACCTGTGAAGCCAACCACCGCTTCTTTTCGAACTGCCACTCACGCAACGTCATTGGACAGCTGAACGCGCTCGGAGGAAAGCGCCAACCGCCAGATCTGTTACGTCAGCCAACAGACGCCTGCGCCGACTAGCATCGCGCTGAGTGATGGGGGGAGAAGGAGGGGCCATCCCACCCACCCAGAGAGAGCGAGGCCAAGTGTGCTCTCTCGGACTCCCGGCTACGGATGGCTGTAGCATCACCAGGGATCGAACTCGCGATCTCCTGATGATAGGGCCAACGCTTAGACGGTTGCGCCACTCGGGAGCGGAAAATTATTTTTGTATCTTTGTTCTTCAGATCTTCTCTTGGCGAGACACTTTGTTTCCCATTTACAGAGCCAGGGCTGTGTAAGAGCACCAGTTTTTTTTCAGCGCCCACACAGAATGGAGAGCTAGTAGAGGAGATATTTGCAGAATTTAACAAAAAGTGTAGTGGATTGAAATCGTATACACTGTAAAGAAATTAGAAGTCTGCTCAACTTAAAATGATATAGTAACTGATTGCATGGCTTTTCTTGAGTTGAGGCAACTTGAGGACACCAGAGTTCACCCAACTCAAACTTCTTAGTTGAGTCAACAATTCTCCCAGCTACTGTTTCTAGGTATGCATCTCAGTTAGATAAGCAAAACTGAATTTATGTTTTTTGACTCATTTTCCCTACTAGCTGGCACTCCTGAGTGATGCAGTGGACTACGCCATCACCCCAACAGGAGGTTGTTAGTTTGAGCCCTAGCAATGCTATAGCCACCCATAAGTGTTTACCCAAGAGGAAAAGATGCGTATGATTGTGTGATGGAAAGAATCCTGGCTAATGGGGAAGTCGAGTATAAAAACAAGTTTATTTTATTTACCTAACTGAGAAGCAGAACGAAGAGAACTTTTGACTCAACTACGAAGTTTGAGTTGTATGAACTCAAGTTGGGTCAACTCAAGAAAAGCCATTGAATCAGTTACTATATTATTTTTGAATTGAGCTGACTTCTCTTTTTTAACACTGTACTGCACCTTTAATTCTTTTAGAATGGTATTTTAGCTAATGCTTAAATTTTGTCATTAAATGTCATAATATTTGTCCAAATTAAAATAAAATTTTAAAATATCAGCCTATTGTCACAGCTCTGTGCAGCCTTGAGGGTCATGTAGATTGCTACTGGCTGCTTTTAGCTGATGGCTAGCATAAGTGAGGGCTTTAAAAATGAAGAAAGTTACATTGACAGACTTTTTTAGTGGTGCTGCATAGGCTAATCATGTGTGATGTGTTTGCAAGCAAAACATGGTATGAGGGCGGGGTGTCTCAGCTCCATGAGCGTTTTACTCGCTATTGGGTGAGTATGGTGGGAGGGAGAGGTGAAACATTATATTATCAGTTAATATAATTTTTCCCTGTCTGCTGGTGCACAGTGACATTATCAAAAAATACAAGATGTTTTAGGGGTGGGCAAAAGCCACTATATTTCTATAGAAGATTATGAGGAATGAAGAATTTTGATTTCATTACATTAAGTATATTAATACAGTTACATTTACATCAAATGCTAACATTTCTTCTATTTTTCTCCAGCAGCAGACACTGTTAGCTCTTCGGACAACCACGCACACACTGGGGTGACAGCACCAGTGGACATCCCAGGCATCTCTGAGGTCACCGAAAGTAAAAGGACACACCTCTGCATGTCCACTCCATCAAATTTAACTTGCACTGCCATCAGCCAGAGCATCCCTGATACTCGTCACTATGGAAATGAACCCTCTAACCACAGTAGCGGAACGTTCCACCACAGCAGCAATGGTATCCACCACATTCACTCTTGCCCAGAATTTTCCGCTTTTCCATCATCATCCCTGTCCATTTCAGAGGAGGAGAAGAAGGAGGAAAAGGATAAAGAACAGAAGCTTGGGGAAGAGCTGGTGGAGTTACTTGAGAATTTGAACTTTCAGGAGGAAAACATGGAGCTAATGTCTGATCTGGAATTATTTCTGGAAAATAAAGACCACACAGAACTGTATGCTAACTCGGTCAAAAACACTGATCTTGAATCAGCACAAGCACCAAACCAAGCATTTTTTTGTCATAATGCATTTAGAAACGCTGATCCATCAGCAAACCATGCTGATCTCTGTGCTAGCACAGTCAGAAACCCTGATCTAGAAGCTGTTCTGGAGGATACACACCATCCAAGTAACTGTACAAATGTAGTGAGAGACACTGATCTAGAATCAGTTCACTCTACTAATGCAGTCAGAAACGATCTAGAATCAGTTCACTGTGCTAATGAAGTCAGAAACACTGATCAAAAATTAATTCACTGTACTTCTGCAGCCAGAGAGACTGGTCTAGAAACAGTTTATTATACTAATGCAGTCAGAGACACTGTTCTAGAAACAGTTCACTGTGCCAATGCAATCAGAGACAATGATGTGGAATCACTTCTGGAAGTTTCTGTGTATGTCAGAGCCACGGAGACAGCAGCTGCAGAACCACAGGTGCCCACAAGGATACATGAGCTAGAAACTGTTCGCTGCCCTAATGCAGTCAGAAGCACTGATCTAGAGTCAGTCCACTGTGCTACTGCAGTTAGAAATGTTTATCTAGAATCTGTTCACTGTGTTAATGCTGTCAGAGACACTGATCTAGAGACAGATCACTGTGCTAATGCAGTCAGAGACACTGATCTAGAATCAACTCACTGCACTAATGTGGTCTTAAACACTGATCTAGGGTCAGCTTACTGTGCTTATGCTTTCAGAGACACTGATCTAAAATTAGTCCACTGTGTTAATGAAGACAGAGACACTGATCTGGAATTAGTTCACCATGCTAATGCCGTCAGAGACACAGATCTAGAAACAGTTTATTGTGCTAATGTTGTGGGAGACACTGATCTGGAATCAGTTCTGGAAGTTTCTGTGTGTGACAGAACCACTGAGAGAGCAGCTGAAGAACAACAGGTGACCACAAGGATACATGACTTGGAAACTGTTTGCTGTACTAATGTAACCAGATGCACTGGTCTAGAGTCAGTTCACTGTGCTAATGCAGTGATAAACACTGATTTAAAAACAGCTCACTGTGCTAATGCAGTCAGAGACACTGATCTGAAATTTGTTCACTGTGCTAATGCAGACAGAGACACTGATCTGGAACTAGTTCACTGTGGTAATGCAGACAGAGACACTGATCTGGAATTAGTTAATTGTGCTTATGCAAATAGAGACACTGATCTGGAATCAGTTCACTGTGGTAATGCAGTCATATACACTGATCTAGAATCAGTTAACTGTGCTAATGCAGTCACAAATGCTGATCAAGAATTAGTTCATTGTGCTAATACAGTTACAGACAGTGATCGAAAATCGGCTTACTGTGCTAATGCAGGCAGAGACACTGATCCAGAATCAGTCAACTGTGCTAACGCAGTCAGAGACACCAATCCAGAATCAGTCGACTGTGCTAATGCAGTCAGAGACACTGATCCAGAATCAGTTCAATGTGTTAATGCTGTCAGAGACACTGTTCTAGAATTAATTCAATGTACTAATGCAGTCAATGACAGTGATTCAGAATCAGTCCACTGTGCTAATGCAGTTAGAGACAGTGATCCAGAGTCAGTCTACTGTGCTAATGCAGTCAGAGACAGTGATCCAGAATCAGTTCAATGTGTTAATGCTGTCAGAGAAACTGTTCTAGAATCAATTCAATGTGCTAATGCAGTCAGAGACAGTGATTCAGAATCAGTCCACTGTGCTAATGCAGGTAGAGACACTGATCCAGAGTCAGTCCACTATACTAACGCAGTCAGAGACAGTGATTCAGAATCAGTCCACTGTGCTAATGCAGGTAGAGACACTGATCCAGAATCAGTCCACTATACTAATGCAGTCAGAGACAGTGATCCAGAATTAGTCCACTGTGCTAATGCAGTGAGAGACACTGATCCAGAATCAGTTCAATGTGTTAATGCAGTCAGAGACACTGATCTGGTATCAGTTCACTGTGCTAATGCAGTCAGAGACAGTGATTCAGAATCAGTCCACTGTGCTAATGCAGTTAGAGACAGTGATCCAGAGTCAGTCTACTGTGCTAATGCAGTCAGAGATACTGATCCAGTATCGGTTCAATGTGTTAATGCTGTCAGAGACACTGTTCTAGAATCAATTCAATGTGCTAATGCAGTCAGAGACAGTGATCTAGAGTCAGTCCACTGTGCTAAGGCAGGTAGAGACACTGATCCAGAGTCAGTCCACTATACTAATGCAGTCAGAGACAGTGATCCAGAATTAGTCCACTGTGCTAATGCAGTCAGAGACACTGATCCAGAATCAGTCCACTGTGCTAACGCAGTCAGAGACACTGACCTGGAACTAGTTCACTGTGGTAATGCAGACAGGGACACTGATCTGGAATCAGTTCAAAGTGCTAATGCGGTCAGACACACTGACCTCGAGTCAATTCAATGTGCTAATGCAGTTAGAGACAGTGATCTAGAATCAGTCCATGGTGCTAATGCAGTCAGAGACACTGATCTAGAAACAGTAAACTGTGCTAACGCAGTCAGAGACAGTGATTCAGAATCAGTTCAGTGTGCTAATGCAGTGAGAGACAGAGATTCAGAATCAGTCAACTGTGCTAATGCAGTCAGAGACGCTGGTCCAGAATCAGTCAACTGTGCTAATGCAGTCAGAGACAGTGATCTAGAATCAATTCAATGTGCTAATGCAAACAGAGACACTGATCCAGAATCAGCCCACTGTGCTAATGCAGTCAGAGACAGTGATCTAGAATCAGTTCACTGCGCTAATGCAGTCAGAGACAGTGATCCAATGTCAGTCCACTCTGCTATTGTAGTCAGAGACACTGATCTAGAATCAGTTCAATGTGCTAATGCAAACAGAGACACTGATCCAGAATCTGCCCACTGTGCTAATGCAGTCAGAGACAGTGATCTAGAATCAGTTCAATCTGTTATCGGAGACACTGATCTAGAATCAGTTCTGGAAGTTTCTGTGTGTGTCAGAACCATTGAGAGATCAGCTACAGTACCCCAGTTGACCATGACGGGGGGCAGTTTGCCTACCAGGAGCCTGGTGGAGTGGGTGACCTCATCATCCAGTCAGGAGGTTGAACAGTAATGCAAATGGGTTGATCACTGACTGCCTTTAATATTCGAGTATATAAGAGTTACTGGATGGGTGTTCAGTTAACTGTGAGGAGGAACAGAAAAAATAACTTTGATTTTTAAAAATCTCACGGCAATTAAACTTTCCTCCAGTTGGTGGCACACATTTATGTTTGGGGAATAATAGATTGAAATATTAAATGCACAGCCAAAACTTTATTAAAAGTGTAAACAACTTTGTTACAGTATATTTATAGTTTTTGCACTTAACACACAAACATGGTAAACTGGTCAGTAGTTTAAGATTAGCAATTACAGAATAATACTGGCACCTGGCAACAGTTAACCCAGTAATACTCTTGCACCTTAATGTATTGTAAACACTGTCAAAGGGCAACTCTGTTGGTTCTAGATTTGTTTAATAGAAATCAGAGTTTTAAATGAGGTTTTAAAGACAAACATCAACATGAAATATAGTGAAATACTTCCAGTTTAATAATGTGAGTGTTGTGTTAAAGCACTGCTTATCATGTGGAAGGTTTAGATTAGTATTATTTTTTGTGTAGATATTAAGCCATAATGTTGTGGATGTTGTAATATTTACGGCTACTATACTAATAATTGTTGTTTTGCCTGTAATATTAAAGTTGCGAGGGAAAATTGTAGTGGGGTGGTAAAAAATGAACATTATTAGTAAATAAAAATAAAAAAATGGGAACATATTTTGGAGTTGGGTTAAACATTATTGCGTTTTAATGGGATATAATGGAAAAACAAGAATTGTGAGGCTTTTAAATGATATGAATCAGGCTTAATATAATCTGACATAGTAAAAAATGTCATGATACAGTAAAAAATGTTTTGATAGCTGTGTTGGATAAACAACATCTTAATGAATTATAAAGTTATGAATATGTTACACATCTGACACTGACCACCACTGTACATCCTTACACCCTTACACATCGACCAGAATGTACACATCTGCACAGGTAACAGAACTTTAAAGGGCCTATATCCTACATTTCTCTTGGTTCTTATTTTTTTCACCAAAGGTCCACTTATAATGTTTGCATGAGTTTATTTACCAAAAACAGTCATAATTATTCTTTGCATGATTTTACAAACTCTCTGTATCCCTTAGATTTAATCAGGCTGCTTTGTTACTGTAACTTTAAGACTGATATGTGTAAAGAAGCTCTGTTTTGATTGGCTGCCCTGTTATGTGCCTCATCTAAAGCAGTCTGGGCTGAAACTTGCCTTTGGCAGTGTGAAAAGGCAGGGCTAAACTACTGTAGGCTGAAGACGTGGATATATGGAAATGTGTTTTTGTGACATCACAACAATGAATTCGAAACTGGCTGTTTTTTGTAACTTAGTTTCCACATATTAACAGAGGAATGAATGGCACCTTTTGAAACGATAACTTTATATACCACATCATACTCTGTTATTTTAAAAGGGAAAGGAAAACTCAGTTTTGTGTTATATGAGCCCTTTAATGTACAACTCACACACTCACTCTCCCATCGATTTAATTATATATTTGTTATTTTTATGAACTGAAAGCATTCATACAGGCCGCTGCATTCATTCTGGATTGTCTTTATAATAACAATTAACATGCAGTATAAATGTGTAGTTCTCTATAATAATAACATTCACTGATATTGGTTTGTAGAATATAATTTCGAACCAATTAAATATCACCACTGCTGCTGTATACATTCTGTAGAAATTACTGTTATTGTTGTTGTTGTTGTTGTTGTTGGTGGTGGTGGTGGTAAAAAAGGCTGAATCAGCTAGATGACGTCGCGGGTCGTGCCCGAATGCGCGCGCGCTCCCCTTCGTGCGCGTGAGAGAAAATATGGCGTCAGAGGAGCAGGCAGGTGAGTGAGGCGGGCATCTTCATCCTCATCCTCAGCATCTCTATTAAATGAAATCAGAAATGTAAAAAAAACGATATTTAAAACAGAGAAATAACTGTCTTCACTTCGACAGAGCACAGCTAAAGCAGCACAGTGCATCACGTGCGTTTGTCCCAGCTGCAGCGCACACATCCTTCTTGGAGCATGCATATCTCTAATATCCACTCTTTTACCACTAATCTGTCCATTAGAGTCCAGAAAATGGTCACTGTAGTTCCTCTCCTGCAGGATTAGTTCATTTTTATATGTTCTCCCACAGCACTACGAGGCAGAAGTTGGCTTCTTATTCGAATTTTCCGTTCCACCTTAAACAGCGCAGCAGTTATGCCTGAGGCGCCGACCCGCCAGAACTGCTGCACCACTTAAGGTGGAACGGAAAATTCACATAACAAGCCAACTTCAGGTTCGTCTCAGCAGCTTTAATACAGCCCCCTATAGTAAGTGTCTCTCTAGGCTCAGTTAAGAGGAGCGTGTGTATCTGTGACCTGCATCACTGTGACAGCTTCAGCTGTGAAGTACAAAATAAAATAAAATTACATGAATACATAATAATAATACATTAAAATTAAATATACATATTTTTCTTATAATAAGTTATTATCTTTCTGACTTCTTTTATTTTTATTATTCAAAAAGGTTTACAGATGGTATTATTCATTTAGTAGAAGGATCAAAGTGACAATCAGAACAGACAGCAAAGATGCAACTTAGTTCTATATTTAATTGCAATAACTATGCAAAGCAAAATCATTAGCATTGATAAATGAATATTGATGTTTATGTGTACTGTTCTCAGTAGAGAGCGCTTGTGCTGCAGATTTGCGGATTGTCCTGCTGGGCCGGACAGGCTGTGGTAAAAGCTCCACAGGAAACACCATCCTGGGTGTTCCAGCGTTTCGGACGGACATCTCTCCACTGTCCGTCACTCAGGAGTGTGAGAGCGCCAGTGGCACAGTGGATGGGCGGACAGTGCAGGTACTGATGGACTTAAGGCCAGAATCTTTTGCCCTAGCAAAAACTGACAAATTTAATCTGGCCAGTGTGCTTTAAAATGTGTCAAATGAAAATTCATAATGCAGTGATTTCTTTACAGTGGTTGTGATAGGAACCAGGGGTTGCATCGAATACAGCACAAACGCAGTCATTTTATATACAATACAAACCACATAAGTTTAAAATTTTGGTAAGATAAAATAATGGTAAATCTGAAAAACTGAAGACTCTTTGGAGATTCTTTTTCCATAGATGTAACCATACACCATAAACAGTTTTTAAAAATAAATTTTAGGCCAAAGTCTTATCTTAAATCTATTATCAAACAATAGATCTCAGGCAATCAGGTGGTGTATTCATATCCATTACCCATAACAACGGCCTGTGATGGAGCTTTGAGGCATTAAACTCTTCAGACATCTGGTTCTTATCACAGCCACTGTAAACAATTCTTACTCAGCAAGTTTCACCAGAATGAAGCACTTCACATCAAACCACACTATAATTTTGTTTACATCTTTATTATTTAACTGGTGAAAAATCTTTGGACTTTCCCTTTAATTGACTAAAAACACATATACACCCTTGTCTTATGTAACAGTATGTAACAGTACAGTAATTAAATATGTTTATATGTATGGTTATATGTAAGTTGAAACACATATGTTGGTCAAAATGTATTGATGAGAACAAAATGGATTTAGTTTTTAAAGGCACAACATATAAAACTGTATGGTATTATTTTGGGTTTTCATGATGCATTTGTACACATTTGACCAGCAGATGTCATCAGTGTTTGCATGCTGAGCATTTTGAAACACTAATTTTCATTTCACTTGCTAAAAGCTTCAGAAAGCTTGATTTCTCTTGTCACTCTTTGCAGGTGATCGACACCCCTGGTTTCTTTGACACCTCTCTGTCTGCGGAGGAGGTTTGCATGGAGGTTGGACGCTGTGTGATTCTCTCTGCTCCTGGACCTCATGCGTTTCTATTGGTCCTTCAGCCAGGGAGGCTGACCCTAGAACAGTGGGCCGCTCTAGACTGGCTCAGTGCCGTTTTTGGCCCTCAGGCTCTAAAACACACCCTACTCATTCTCACCTGGGCTGACCAGCTGGGAGGAAAACCTGCTGAGAACTTCCTGCGTGAGAGCGAGGAGCTCTGGGAGTTTACAATGAAGTGTGAGGGCGGTTTTCATGCGCTGGACAACACCAAGGGCAGCCAGGAGCGTGGCCAGGTGGGCAGAACCTCAAGCAAATTGGCAGTTGACCTGTTCACTTTCCGCTCATTAATGCAATTAGAATCAGAAACTCTCAGACTTACTCACTGAGTTAAATGTCATTAATTGTACATGGAGGAGTTAAGTTGAACTCAGTTTGTGAATTCATTAATTGTAAGAACATGAATTTGGTGAATAGAATTGAACATCCCATTAGGGATGGTTGGTATTGACTTGTTTCATTCTTTCGGACCGTCTCCAAATATTACCGCAGCGTTGCCGGGGTATTGCCGGGGGAAAATGCATTGTAAGTGACGTAAAAGCATTTATGCCACTTCGCCCTGTGTTATTTCAAAAGCAGAAAAATAAGCTCACTTGTATGTTCACCAAATGACTGAATGTGCAGTACATGATTTTCAAGCCATCATCCAATAAATCTATGTAATAATCTATCTCACAATAGCTAAATGTTAAACAGTGCTGCTAATAGCACAGAGGAGCTGTTAGCATTAGCTTAGCTACCATGATAACAGCTCTGCTCACCACAGAACTTGTTCAATTCTGGCTAACTAAAGCACTGCAACAAGTTTAGATGATAATGATTTAAATCTGATGGAGCGAAATTGAGCAACCGGCATTGAAGGGACAGAAAGCTGAAATTAAACCTGTTCCGTGCTGTTTGGATATGTAGCCTGAATTGCTAACTTAATGTTAGCTTAGTGAGCAGGCTACTGCCCAAATAGTGCAACATACCACAGTACAGGTTTGATTGTGACTAGCTGCCCACCTAGGTTTAGATGTAGAAATCAAACCTGTTCTGTGGTGTTTGGGACCTAAGCGTTTTGGTTAAGCTGACAGGCGGAGAGCTTAGTTAGCAGGCTAAACAGGCCACACACCTCAGCACGGTCTTAGTTCCAGCTAACTGATGGTAAAATGACAGCCATTAAGAAGACATCTGAGATTGCAAAGTCGAGTGCCTGGTGTTAGAGTAAAAACCGAAATTGAATGTGTTCACCCATCGGTGAACCCCTCTAGAACATAAATGGGTGGAATGTGTTTATTTGGCCATTCAGACATGGAATAAAAATTTGACACTGATGATTTTGAAATACCATCATTATATTTTAGTACTGCATAATACCTTAGTACGATTATACCTACCTTATCTCCAAGTAGTAGAGGGTTAATGTGAAAAAATGGCATTTTTTTATTGTTTTATATTACAGGTGGTGGAGCTGCTGAATAAGATTGACACTATGGTGGAGAGAAATGGAGGAAGCCCCTACACCTGTGAGATGCTACAACATGCAGAAAGAGCCATTCGCCAGGTGCAGCTAAGGATTTTAGGAGAAAAGGGGGTGGGGCTAAGGGAAGGGGAGATTGAGGGACCTGAAGACGGGCAGAAAAGACAGAAAGAGGAAGAGGAGGCAAGGAAGACAGCAGAGAGAGAGTTTTGGTGTGAATTTGTCACGGCTATGGGCAAGGGGGCGCTGGAGGGCTCCGGAGTGATGGAAAAAGGAAAGGGGAAAGGAAAGAAAACGAAAACAGTGCAGAGGGTGGCGGCTTTAGCTTCAGCACCACTGTCTGTCAGTTCTGCAGCTAAAATAGTGGGCGGGGCTGTGAGGGAAGGAAGCAAAGTGCTTTACAAACACAGGAAAACACTGAGTGAAAAAATCACCAAAAACCTGAATAAATGACACTTTTGAGTCTATGTACTGGGCTCACAGACTCACACACTTCACACAGTTTTAACACAGTAACATAAAACACTGACAAGTCCAGGCACATGCACAGTTAGACCCCAGAGGGAGCTCCTGCCCTTTTGCCCCAAAAACTGTATAAGTGCCTCCGATAGTACGATTGGCATTTGTTTCAGTGAGGTGATGCTCAGTCCTGCTCTGGGAATAGAGCTTGTGGGTCAGCTCGGGGTCCACTAGCTTCATCATTCTTCAGCACCCCCTTAGATGCAGTACTGCCGCCTGTGGTGATTTCATATCATAACTTCCTCCAGCTCATTGCGGGGGACCACAAGTCGCTCCCAGGCCAACTTGGAGTTATAATCCCTCTAGCGTGTTCTAGGACAACCTTGGGGTCTCGTATTAGTAGGCTGTGCCTGGTAAACCTCCACCGGGAGGCAGCCGGGGGCATCCTGATCAGATGCCTGAACCACCTCAACTGTCTCCTCTCAATGTAGAGGAGTAGCGGCTCTACTTTGATAATGTGGTTATTTTGAACCAACTGTAATGTCAGCAGTAAGGGGTACTGCTAACCAGCTAAACCAAGCTTTTGTAATTACAAAAATGGATTTCTGATTCTGTGGAGCTCTTAAATAAAGGTAATACTCACTACTTTATAGTAATTAGGTAGTATTGTGAGTAACTGCACAGCCTTGTATGCAGAACATAACGGTTCGAATCCCTGCTCAGGCATTAATCCTTGTGTTTTAGGCTGCTTTGGGAAAAAATCAACACTATGTATGCATTCCTCTTTTTCATGACTAGACGGTTTCTCTAAATAAGTGTATTTCAGGTTAGTGTTGGCATTTTTCCCCTTGAGCCGCTGCCTCCCCAAAATGTCTGTGAATGAGCCTGGACTAGTCATACACAGTGCAGCACTATACTGTATTGTGTATTATAAAGCATTTCCACTGCATGCGTGTTGCTCTATGTAACAAACTGACCATAATGCACACTGCACTGTTCTGTGCTGTAATGCTTCATGTTTACTGCTGCTTGCTGAACCAGTAAAGCACAGACAATCTGGGAGGGAATAAGCTGAAACATCTGTAAACAGTTTTCTACATTTTGAAAAACAGATTTTTTTTTATTTAATTATCTATTTAATTAAGAGTTCAGAGTGAGATGGATGAATGATGCTGAATCTTCCCCACATCTCATTGGCCTGTGTAACAGCCTATGAAAAAGAATGTTGTATGAATGAATGTTGCAGTGAGTCCAATGAAAAATCAACCAGTTCTTACCTGTTGTCATTCAGCCAAGGCATGTTAGGTGACTGAAGTTTGCTTCTTTACTTATTACACTTGAGCTATGAGGCTAATGTAGCTATGCAATGGAAGCTTACACACCAAAAACAGCAAACCGCAAATCATTACACACTTTCTTCAAACTGTGGGTGCACTGAACATTAATAATGGCTAATTCCAATTTCTGATTTTGATTAGCCTTTAAAAAAACTGACCCTCACTTTGTTGGTCTTACTGCTACAGGGAAAAGTGTCCAGGTCAATGCCCAACACATAGCCTGTTTCCACCACCGGTGTTGACTGCAGATATCCTGATATTTAGAATTCCTTGGCTTGTACTGTTGCCATGTGATACACAATATACGGTGATTTCATACGCCTCTGAGTATTTCCGCCTAATATGTTATGCTGAGGAGCCTTTTGAGGGTTTTCATGCATCCCGGATGGCTACTTAAGGAATTACCATGGTAAGAAACTTGGGCCAGAGTGCTTATTAAATAAAGCGTATGGCCATTCTGCTGGGTCGGTACACTACGATTTAAGTATCCATTATTGGTAGTATTACAGATGCACCTGCCATCATGAAAAGATTTGCTAGCTGCTTGCCATAATGATTGCTGGATCATCCTTCTGACTTTTTTCCTATTCCTTGATAAAATCAGATGGGTGCAATATCAGAGCTCTTACATAAGAAGCAATGACAAAAAGTGTACAAAGCAAATAATGTAATAATTATGGAATTATATAATACACAAGGAAATTGTACAAATGAAACAATACAATACAATTTATTGTACAACAATGTACAATAAATAGGACTATAGAAAATGTACAATACAGAATTATAAACAGTATTATAAAATATTAACAAAAGGTGAAAAGTCAAGCAGGAATTCATTTTTGCTGTTGCTGTCTCTCAAACAGCAAGTTGTAAATGTCAAACATTGCCTGTGCCTTGTGCTCCCCCCGGCAGCCTCCATAGCATGTCTGCAACAGTTTGGCCAAGGCTGGAGGACTCATTGTTGCCCTGCAACAGTCCAGGCAGCATTTCCACCCTGCATTCCTCAAGCTGGGCAACCTGCTTCTAAAGCCAGTCATCCTGTTCTTTCCTCTTCCTTTTTTGTGCCATCCTTGGGCTGGGGGACAGAGGAGATGGCTGGAGGGGCTGGTGAACTACTTGCTCACTACTTGCTGATTCTGAAGGTGGGCATGAGGATGGAGTGTGTGGTGGTTCAGCTACTGAGACACTTTTTGGGTGTCTCAGTAGCTGAAGTGGTGGAGGTTGAGGTAACATTTGAGGTCAAATAATTTCCATCCTGTGATTATGAAATAGGACATAGTTTGTTCATCTTTGTAATTATATATACAGGAAATATGCATACAGTGTATATGCACAGGATGGCAGAGCTATGAAAGCGACATATGGCTACATTGGCAGAATACTGGTTATTGCGTTTTTATTATGAGCAAGCCTGTTAGGCCACACATTACATTTTTGTTTCACGGAAGCTTTGTCTTTGTGCAAATTAATATTCCATTGGTACAACTTGATAGTACTGCTAGCCTAAAAACTTACAACACAGAGGTTTATGGTCCAAAGAATGTTACATTTAGCTTGTTGTCATAATTTGACTCTGTGTCTCCTGTGCTTTATATGCGGTGCCAGCCAAGAAAGAAACAAATAAAACGCTGGCACTTTCTTTCCATCTGGGTCTCCTCGTAGTTTTTTCAGAGGTGAATGTACTTTTCCCTCAAGGTCTTCCACCTCTTCATTCTGTGACATCCAATCCGATGTTTGAGGAAATCTCTTGGCATGAAGTTTTGTGAAGTATTGTGGCGAAGAGGAGTCGTACAGATATTTATATTTCTGGACTTCCTTGGTTAATCTCTCGTCAAATTGATTCATGTTTGTCCGGCTCTCAACTGAATTTAAAAATGACAGTGAAGAAGGAGAAGCTGGAAATGCATAGGAGGAAATGTGATGCTATAAAGCAGACCAATCACAGTTGCTGTGGTCTGTGTTACTGTTAAGCATAGTTACATTTCTGTGGATTTGCGCATCAGGCTACAGTGAAGGGTATGCGGCTACATGGTAACTACGCCTTAGCTACAGCCTAGATTCGATGCAGAAGCATAAATCTGCCTTAACACTATATGACAGGTTATCTATAAAATTACACTAACATGCAGACCAAATTCAGGCCTTGTGATTGCTGCTAAAACTGTGTTTAGCTTCATAGCTCTAGTGTAAACCTTTGAACCAAAAATGTCCTGGCCGATCGGCTACATTTAAGAAAAGGGGAAAACTGGGTAAATGTAATTTTATTTTGTACTCTGCAGTCTGAACAAAGTGATGTCCTGCTGAAGAAAATAGTTTGATTTGGTTGTGTCAGATTTGAATCTGTCATGAACAGATACAAGAACTTAAATTAGGATCCAGGCCTGTAAACCCATAAAAACTGAAGAAAACTGCTGAATTACTGAATTTATTATGTAAGAATGAAGCAATAAATTGTCATCTATTTCTGGAATAATTTGTCAATGGAGAAGGGCTTTGAGGTATATCAACATATAACATACACGTATGATGTTATAATTGTTTATCAATGTATTATTATCCCTCTTATGATTATACATTGGGATATCATGTCTTTGTTTATTCCAATGCAAGCTTTACACTGTATGAACATTTCATGAGGAGCAGACCAATCAATCATATGTTAAAACAGTTCTACTCCTGTTTAGTTATCATTTCACAGATACAAGGTTTTCTCATGATAGCAATGATAAAAAAGAGCACAAACTACTGAACACAGTGAAATAAACCAGAGTAATGCTGTTCTTCCACAAAAAGCTAAAGGTTTGACATTTAAATGTTTAATATTGCACATTTCTCAGTATCCATGTGAATGTTTATGCTGTAAAGCTAATAAAAATAAAAGGCTTTAAAAATCACAAACTATAGTTGTAGCCTCTTTCTGCAGGCCATTCTGCCAGCAGAATGGAAAATGACTTATGATATTTTTAGATACTATAATCAAACAAAACATTTTCCCATAACTAGTTTTAGGCTAACTACGATACTGTTAGTTCTCTGTGTGTGAATAGTTGTGACTCTGTGTTGAGCTGCTAGTGAGCAATGAGGTGTGATAGGGATAGTGTCAGAAACCTCACTGTAAAAAACAATCCACACCTCTTCACAAGATGAAAGTGCCGAGATACAAGGAATGGCACTTCTGCAGCTTTCTTGATATCAAAGGGCGAGTCACAAAAACAACAGAGACATTGGACCTGACTAACCAGTTTTCTAATTTTGATATGCTATGTTGAAAGAAAAGTGGTTTGATGCTTCTGCATCAACCAAAATCAGTAAAACACACACAGAAGCAGGCAGAGTCACTGAGGGAGAGAGAATAGCACTTCTTCCTTTTCTGATATAGCTGAAGACATGAGACAAGGTGAGCTCAGCAAAGTAGGTAGCTAACAGGTAACTTCCAGTAATTACATTTTACATTTTGCAAAGGTTTTTCTCCTTTGAATTTCCCTCTCATTACATTGATTGTTTTGAATCTTCAAAATTCCCAACAATTTTTATTCTTGGGGTCAATTTGACCCCAACAATTTAAACCTCCAGAAAATGAATAGAATTAAACTTGATACCCAAACATTTCTGGTACTAACGTACCTTCCTAGAGTGTTTTTGGCACTGCAGGTGACATTGCCTAAATAAGATTGTTAATGGTAAACACCACTGGCATTGCTAATGGTAATTTAAACCTTCCTGGTCATCCGGAGATACGAGTTCAAACATCTGACTTTACATATTTAGGTGTTAAAATATATCCAAATCTTGCCCTTATTCGGAAGCACAACTATGCTCATCTCCTTAATAAACTTATTAAGGATATGGAAAAATGGTCTTTACTTCAAATTTCCATGTCTGCCAGGATCTCCATACTTAAAATGAATATCCTCCCTCGTATAAATTTTCTTTTTGCTATGCTTCCCCTCTATCCCCCACACAACTTCTTTAACGATATTGAGAAGTTATCCAAAAATTTCATATGGAACAACAAAAGAACTAAAATCTGCCTTAAATCACTTCACTGTCCAAATTCATCTGGTGGTCTAGCTATTCCCAATTTTAAATATTATTTTTGGGCTTTTCAGTTAAGAGCCATAAGGTCATGGTTTGATTCCACTTCTAAAGTATCGTGGCAAGCAATAGAACAGCAACTTATTTTTCCCATCAGGCTTCAAGACTTACCCTTTGCTGGTGTTAAACATTGGACCTCACTTCTAAGATATGGCACTATTATTACTTGCTCACTTGAGATGTGGAACTCCGTTTCTAAGTTTCTTAAGTGCAATGTGAAACTGCACAAATCCTTTCCCATATAGTTTAATAATTTTCTTCTGACAGGTTCCAAGCCATTTGTTTTTCCCACTTGGTCTAATAACAACATCCGTATTTTGAATGATTGAATGATTGAATTTTTGGCACCCATGGGCTTTACTCTTTTCAGCAGTTATGTAACCTTTTCTCTATTCCTGGTAATTCCTATTTTCTATACCTGAGACTACGCTCTGCACTACGTGCATACGGGGTTCCATGGAATACTCAGTTGAAGAACCATTTCTTACTGGACCATCTGTGTAATCATGAATCTTCCCGAGGCTTAGTCTCACATTTGTATGATTTGTTTATTCGATTTAAGAATTCTTCTTTAGGTGCAGTAGAGCTCTGGAATAGAGACCTGTGTACATTCAGAATTTCTGCAAATTGGGACGTGGTGTGGCGTAACATTTTTCTGTTTTCAAAAAATTTGTCTCATCAGTTAATTCACTTTAAATTAGCTCACAGGATTTACATCATGTCAGCTGGGTTTAGTTGGAGATTATGTTCATATGTTTCGGTCATGTTCAGTTGTGAAGGCTTTATGGCTTACAAATGATACAAATCTTGTCTGGTTATTTGTCTGTGAATATTCCCTTGTCTCCAGCCTTACTTTTACTTCTTGATGATTCCAGTTTAATGCTTACTGTACAACAAAAGAAAGTCATGATGGCAGCCCTGACTGCGGCCAAGAAGTCAATCTTGAAAGGATGGTTTGAACCTAACCTTTCTTTATCTCAGTTATGGTGTAGATATTTTCTGGATATTCTTATTTTAGAACGGGCAACTGCCAGATTCCACAATGCCAAGGCAGCAACGATTCGCTTTTGGACTGAGGCCATTAATTATGTTAAGACTCTGTAATCATGGTTGCTTTTGTAGAATGTGTATTAATGTACGATGTACGTGTATGTATGTTTGTACATGTATGTATGTGGATGCCCCCCCCATCCTTCTGTGGTGTTGATATGCATGAGTGTTGTTTGTGTATTTGCTATCAAAATTAAAAAAGTTATTAACAAAAAACACCACTAGCATTGCAATGTTGACTAGTCTAAGAAAGCTGCCCTTTATTTATTCTCAATGAAAATGGACGGCTTAAAAATGCTTCCTGATGTGTAGAGAATCGCCAGTCGCTGTTTAGAGGTGTTTTTGGTGTCTATTGTAATCACTTCCTGTTCTGAGAGCAGTGTCCTCTCTCCAGAGCATGTTGATCAGATGTTTTTTATAAAGAAAAGCCTCTCAAAGAAGACAACTGAAAGATTTGCTATGCTGTAGAGATTGTCTTATGAACATGCAAGTAGTCCAGGCTACTGTATTTGCACTTTTCAATAATATCTTTGGTTAAAATGTGTCATTTTGTACTAGTAATATTTAGTAAACAATGATAGAGGTTTGCAGTAAGACTACTCTTTGTTTAGCCTACTTCATTCACAATGTTACTTAACTGTACTTGTGTACAGTATTTACTCACTGATAATTTGTTGACTGCTTATGACTACCTAATTGATGACCACATTTGATGTTTACTTATAATATGTTCAAATGTAAATTTTGTTTGCATTAGTGAGTTCACAGAAATGTAGGATTGTGTGGCATTTCATCATTTCATATCGACTGCAGGCCCCCGTATGGAACCGAATTGCATTGCCTCTTGTCAAATTTTGAGGTATTGAAAATTATCAGGTCATTGGCTAAAATAATTGATGTAGGATCGCATTGTGATGAAACTTGTGATTTTTATCCCTAGACATTATAAAGGAGGAGACAGGTCACTGGTTGAAAAATAAATATAAAAGCTTGTATTGCTATTATTGGTAAAATAAGCAAATCAGCTTGGTGGTAAAACCGCAAACAGGAAAAGTGCCCACTTGTGGAGCTTTGCGCAAATTATGAGCCAAACACTACAAACTGTTTATGCTCTCCTTGTCAGATTTCACCAGTCATTTCTAATATGTTTTCTCACATTAATGTGGCTGTTAGTTTGGGGTTTATAGGTCTCTCTCCATTCAAAGACATATGAGCCTGGTCCTGGATGACTGAGAATAACTGCCAAGATGGCCATCAACTTTGGTTTAGCAGGTTCAGGTATAAAGGTTTTTAAAAAGCTTGGTCATATGGAATCTATGGTCGCCCCCTTGCTCACTGACTATAGCTGACCAAAAAGCTGCTTTCCGTTTTTAAAATGATGTTCTCTCTGCTTTCCTGCGTTGCTAAATACTTCTATGCTTCTTCCTGTGATAAAAAATATCAATAGTGTTTTTGCATTACCTTGTAGTATTCCAAGTTATACTATAATGTATATTAATAATTACATTAATAAAATAACAACAGTAATAACTTAATATTCAAATGAAAAATCATTTCATTTAAATATTAAAGTAAAACACATCTTGAGAAAATATTCTATATTTACAGCCCTAACAGCTTCCTATGGTGTATGTAAAAATGTTTTAATATGCAGGTGCAGGAGTAGCTTAGTGTTTGACTGGGACACACCCAGCCCACAACACACACTCCCCTCAAACACACACACCTTTAACACACACAGCAGGTAAGATATAACTTTGTCCTTTATTGACAAAAACGTAGTCATTTTACAAAACACTCTCAACACAAATTGGCAACTCAGAAAACTGAAGCGCTTATGGCTGGTTTATCAGCGCAAAATTAAGCTTAAGCCTAGACTAAATAAGATCGTTAATGGTAAACACCATTGGCATTGCAATATTGTCCAAGACTAGTCTAAGAAAGCTGCCCTTTATTTATTCCCAATGAAAATGGACTGTTTAAAAATGCTTTCTGATGTGTAGAGAATTGCCAGGTTCCGTGTAGAGGTGTTTTTGGTGTCTATTGTAATCTGAAATGTTTAATACATGCAGAATACTGAAACCGCAGCAGGTCTTCAGCACCAGCACTACATGAAATAGTAGAGGAGATATGAAATGTCTGACTACAATACACACACACACACACACACACACACACACACGCGCACCCACACAACGTGCAATCTCAACAAAATACTTAATCAGTCTGCTTTTTATCTCTGCTCTGCACATTTGATTGTTTCATCTGCTCCAAGATGCCTGCTTCAACTCACCAGCTTACTAAAGGAATACTCCAGCATCTAACCTCATCTGTATCAACTACATCTATTGCATACGGTCAAATACCACAAACAAATGCTTCAACAGGTTTACCTGGATGAAAAAAACACAAAACAGATTTAAGATAGAAGCCAGTGGGCACATGCTGAATCACGATTATTGTCTGTGGTAACATATACCACAGATCTGCAGATAGAGATTAAAAAAGATACAGATTAGATATTAGATATAGATTAAAAGATGCTTGAGTACTTCTTTAATCCTTTAGGTCTCCCAAAATATACACCGTAAATCACCTCTTAAAGGTTTAATTGTTTTGCAGAAAATTGCAGAATTATTTATGTGATTACACTTAAACAGTATAACAAAAGGAAGTTTAGGAGCTTTCTATTCACTGTTCAGACCATCACGGGTCACAGGAATTCTTACAGAAGCAGAAATAAAACAGAGCGGGTGAAATGGATGAAAATTCTAGAATATAGAGTTAGTCTGCCCAGAAAGCACATGTTCAAAAAAGTCCCTTTAAATGCATTTAACACACACACACACACATACACACCCACACACCCACAAGGCCTTAAAAATGTGTCTGCGCACATGCAAAAAAAAAAAAAACCATTCAAATGAACACACACTTTTCGTACGGAAAGGAAGACAGTATCTTTTGTGCTTTCTAACTGAGGAGTAATAAGGCATTTATAAAAACATTACACTTTCGACCGCTGTACAGTAAGGCACGTTTTCCACGCAGTCTGCAGATTTGTCATTAAAGGAATAGTTAGATCCAAAAATGCTAATGAGGCTAACAGCAATGTAAATGACATGATGCTAGCTGGTGGCTGCTAGCTTCTATTCATAGTTGGCCACATTAGCGTGTTTGGTCCAGCTATTCTTTTTACTTTGGCAAGTGTGGGATTTGTAGTTCTTTTTTTAAAGTATCTGTGACAGATGTAGATACTGTAGACTGGGTGTAGGTGGGTGTTGCTAAGGAAATGGGGAGCGGTTTGGAAAGGAGGAGGGGGCCAGGAGTGCCAGGAGTGTTCTTTAAACTGGCATCGGCAGAGACATCTTCCCACTTCCTCTGAGAACTAGAGAGAGAGAGAGAGAGAGAGAAACAATCATCATTTTTCCATTTGTCTTACAAGTTTCACTTGTCTATTTGCATATATGTTGAAAAGTTATGGTGCATAATAAAACATTTCCACTGTGGCTGCCTTCATGATGAAGCTAAAACTAAGGCTCTAAAGGACACTGCTAGTGTACTAGTATACTAGTGTTCACAAGTTTGGAATCAATGGTGGAATTATCTTAAATCTAGTCAATATATATCTAATATTTCTAACTCTGAGATGTTGTAAGATTATTTCACTTATTTCTAGACATTTGTTACTTATTTTAAGTGACTAGAAAATCAAACAGTGTCATCATATTGGCAGATAATTCTGTTTGTTGTAAGAAATGTGCTTGAAACAAGCAAAATTATCAGCCAAGATAGTGAGATAACCTATCTGACTTACTAAAATGACTTAAAACAAGTATAAAATGTATAAAAATAAAAATAAATAATCTTATAAAAAGCTTATAACCTGGGCTGGGCTATGGGAAATTATCATTTTCACAATATGCGATACATTCTACAATATTTTGACACAGACACAATTCACCAATAGTGCCACATGCAAAAACTTCCATCCAAAACAATCAATACAATGATTACTGTCATTTCACATACAGTGCTGCACTAAATACAGTTAAACAGGAGTAATTATGTTTTCTTTAGAATGAAACATGTAGTTCATCAGTGTTCTTTAAGTACTGACAATATCTGTTATATGCTCAGAAATGCATATTATGCATCACAATAAAATTTATCACAAATCGTCCACCCCTACTTACAACAGTCTCAAAATACAAAATATTAATATATCGAACAGATTTAAGGTAATGTAACATGGTAAAATACAATTTTTAGCAGTGTACATGTGTCTGAATGATGAATAGAGCTATAGAAGATTCATTATGTTGCAAAAGCATAAAATGAATGTAAATGTGTCTGTGATGACTAAAGTACACTATTCATCATTTTATTCACTTTTTCACAGAATTCGTGAACAATGTAAAAACTACGTTGTTGAATGGTTTGTAATATTTTCAGTTAAATCGACAAAGTTCTTTCTAATAAGACAAGTGATTCCAATCAATTGAGTGTTCTACATTAAGGGATGTACTAGCTTGATTTAATAAACTAATTTTTGAGCAGAATGTGCAGGAATGACAAGCATATGTCATTTCTGTGCCCAAACATATGTAGTACTGATCTAATTTGATTTGATTTGAACACACCTGATCCAATCAACAAGTTGTGCTGGACTCTCTGGTTCTCTGTTCCCCATCCCTGCTCTAGACCAAACGTTATGCACTCCAATGCATTCTATGTAGTTTCCCTGAGTGACAGTAGGGGGCAGTGTACTTGAGGCTCACCTCTAGTGAAGTACAGGTAGAAGAAGTCACAGTAGAAGATGGTCTGAACCACTCCGGAGACAACGGCAATCTGGTCAAAGAAGCCCTCAGTGTGGTAGCGCCATACCCAGTTGGCCAGGTAGAGGGCGCGGTAGAGCCCCAGGAAGAACAGGTAGTGCGTGGTGATAGACTCTGCCTCCCCCGTCTTAGTGATCATAAACAATTGAGGCAAGATGGCCACCGACTCCAGGTAGATGGAGAACGTCCAGAGAATCTGCAACAACACAAGCAGAGGCATTAGGGGTGTAAATCTCTCCTGCAATGGCCAGTCCAGCAATAATCAGCATAATATATACATACATACATATATACAATAGCAGCAATACATATATCGCTGTTGTCGGAACAAAACCTCGTACCTCCATTTTTGACGTTTTTTAGTTTTTGACATAATTTGAAAATACCTGTTACCCTTTACATTGTATGTGAATTTCATGATGAATTGACTAAAAGAAACGACCCAGAATTACTTGGAAAAAATTCTGGCTCCACTGACTTACATTAAAAGTAAAGTAAGTTTTTTCCTTCTGTAAAATTATCATTTTGGATCAAATGAGATCAAATGTGGCTTGAAATGTACATGTGACCTGTAAATGTAAAGTGTCCATTTCCACCTCTGCTAACATAGCCCAGTCAAGTCATAACTTAATTCACCTCGTACCTTTGTGAAGTTAGCTAGATGATACAAAACTTGACCATTAATTCAAAAAATGTTGATGTTGAAAGTTTCCTTCCAGTAATTTTATTTGACTTTCTCCATAATGCTTTCTATGTGCAATTTGACTTTGGCTGCACCACATAGTTAAATGAAACCTTCATTCCTATCTGCTTTCCCTCATTTTGCCTGCTTGGTAGTCATGCGGATCTACATACTAGTCACCTCTGCAATGTTTTTAGTGAGTCCATGGGCTACACACTGGCAAAAGCATGTAAATGAAAATGTAACTATTTAGAACCACCCTAGACTACTGACTGACCCTGCCAAAATGGCACAGCAACCATAAGACACTGTGTTATGACATCACATTGTCAGATCCTTTAGAAAACTACATACCAAGCTGTTTCTTTATTGACAGTTAAGAATGTTTCTTTCATGTCTCTGTGAGGTGTGCTATGTGTGTGTGTGTCATGTTTCTTTGTTTTTCTTGTTTTCAGAACAGTACAGCACCTGGAAAATGGTTGTATCTTGAGAACTTCATTGTGATAAAGAGCTGCTTACAGCTGGACTACCTTCACCTTTACTTTATCTACTTCTTATTGAGACACATAAGGTCAGTTGAGACTATATTGGATTATTTAGGACCATTTGAGATCTGATAGAGTGTGACTGTTGCAAACATGGGGTTACAGGGTTATAGAAGCAGCAGTAACTCATCTTTTTGGACTAAATTTAAGCCCTTAGATTTTGACTCTAGTTCCTCACTCTTATAACTACACAGCTTACACATCAGTTTTATAATAGTTACTGAATGATTTATAATTCATAGGCACTGAATAATTAATATCAGTTACAGTGAGGCTTAAGGTGTTAATGTTAGTGCCAAACCCAGTCACAGCTTTATCTTTTTAAAAATGAATTAAAAACTATAATTCTATATTGTCCGGCTTGCACATAAACTGTTATGGTATAAATGCTTTATTAAATATGGTGTTAGTGGGTATACATGAAGTTACTTCATTAAAGTCTCCACTTCTCTCTCTCTCACTCATGTACTCTCCTCCTCACCCTCAGTCTCTTTCTCTCTCTCTCTCTGTCATCTCTCTTACAAAACAGCCAAACAATACTGAAGGGAATGCTGTATGTAGCCAAGATAAAGAAGGTGTTTCTGTAAGTCCAGACTGTACACAGTGACCTCACCAGCACAGAGTAAGCTCTTTCTTTGTGTCTGTAAGTCCTGTTTGTCCAATAAGCAGGATTCCTCTGTTAGCCAGATAACAAATCAGTCCAAAATAAAGCTAATCTCTAATATGAGAATGGTGAGATCACTTTTTTAGCCATGGCAGATGTACATTTTGAGGTGAGTCGTGGCTTAAAAAGGTTGAGAACCACTGCCACAATGGTAGCGGTGCTAAATGACATCTCTATTGGAGAACTGTGATTTGGGCTCATGCTATCCAGCTAAACAGAGCAATCCAGTTTAATCAACAACCATACAGTGTTGTCGGAGTGCCAGGAGGTGGTCCCCAGCTAGTTTGCTGTGTGTGTTACCTCTAGAGGAGTGAAGGCATAATTCTCCAGGAAGGACAGACCGGCGACCGGAACCAGAAGGAACTCGACTCTAAAGGAGTCGTTCTCTGAATCATATGAGTTCCTGAAGCGCATGTAGATAAGGTACACTGTAGCATAGGCCAACACCAGAAAAACCACCTGAGAGGGAAAAGAGAGAGAGGGACAGGTGTTTGAGGTGTTTTTGTAAATCATTACATACATTATTACATCTACATGTTTTACTGTTATTACCAATATAATTACATTGCCTCAGTTTCACATACAGTATAGCTTTGGCAATATTGAGGGGGATTAACAGTTTAACATACAGCAAATGTATTCATCTAAAAGCTACAATTCAAACATTTGGTTTTTAATAATATGAACAGGGGTGGTCTTTGCACTAGGCAAAGGTAGACAACTATCTAGGGCCTCTATGAGCCAAAAGCCCCATGAAGATACAAATTAGATATACTTTATTTATCATTGTTTGTGTTAAATAATCTATTCTAGAAGATATGTACATTAAACACAGCTGGCATTTGCAATTGTAGCGACTATTTTCAGTAACTTCAATGCAACTCCACCCCGTGTCATGGCTATAATTAACTATTTCTATGTTGTTACATCATGACTTAACTGGATAAAGACAGCCTGGTGTGAATAAGGCAATTAAGTGATAATCTACATTTTGGAGAGGAGGGTTTTCAGTGTGCTTTTTCTGGGAGTTGAGGGGGAAAATCGTAGACAGTAATCCAAATGCAGCAAAGAAATGCAAAAAGAGTGAAGAAAGCAAGATTTGTTCCTATACTCCCAAAGCTAACTTTGTTTTTTAGTCAGAAAAGAGTGCACCACAGGCTCAGCAGACCGTGCATGCTGATATGTTAGTATAGATAGCTCCAGTTTTGGGGTAATTCCTCAATAAAGTAATCTATTACAGGTTAGTTATTACTTCTCTGAAACTGCAACGCGATTATGTTACTTATTACTTATTATTTCTTAGGAAAAGTATGTTAATACTCAATGCTTTACTGCTATGTTACCAAACTATCTCACTACACTGGCAGATAATTTTGCTTGTTTCAAACATATTTCTTATAATAGGCCAAATTATCTTACAGCATAGTGAGATAATTTCACTCAATAAAATTACTTTAGTAGGAAAATGTCTAGAAATAAGTTAAACAATTTTATGCTATTCTTATAGCAATCTTAACAAGAGAATTATTGGATATAATAGCTAGATTTAAAAGATCCTGGGAATGGGGCTCCTGGATGCACACTTTTGTCTAGACCACCCAGAATCACTAAATCCACCCCTGAATATAAAACCAACTGTACTGAAGACACATGCATGAAATGATTATGAGGCTACTATTAAAAAATGAAGATGTTAGATCTAGAATGAAGAACAGAACTGAATGGTTTAATGTTTGAGAGAGCTGTAAAACACTGTGAATGAAGTTATAATGAAACTAAAATCCAGAATTTGAGATAACACTGTATACATCACAACTGAATAAAATAACAGTAATAAGTAAGTTTAGGTGTATGAATAAGTAATAAATAACTCCAGACTTTTGAACACCAGTATGTGAGAGTGTGTGAGTGATTCAAGGGTTGGCCAAGATAAAAGTTCAACCTGTGGATTACTTCTAGTGTGTATTAGTGTGTGTGTGTGTGTGTGTACGTGTAGGTCTATGCTACCTTCCTTTCATCACTGACCCTGTTGTATCACTGACTGTAACTGTGGTGTGTGTGATGGTTTGCATGTATGTGCACACAGTTTTACATGCAGTGTTACTGCAGTGGTAGGTCTGACTGTTCTTCACCTTCATTACAGTGTTGTAGATGGAGATGAAGCTGGTGAACAAGTCCAGATACCTGGTGGTGAAAACCAGAGCGAACAGCACCTGAGACTTCCCTGAAATTCCTGCACAACACAGACACAGAGTTACCAAGTCATCAATAATGTCCCTGCGTAGAGCACGCCCCCTTTTGGCTCCCAACTGCTATTACCTCTCCTGCCACGTAATATCGACCTAATACGTCCATAAGGAAATGCAGCAGGAAACATAACACAAGTAAAAGCACGAAGTAGATAAATAACGGGCTCGTCGCTGCTGTGCCTCACTTCTGTCGCCAGTTGGTGCTGCAAATGTGGCGCAAAGGAATGCACAGGCATGCAAAAACCCACAGACGCCTGCACGGATGTGTTTAGGCAGCTGTAAAGCCAAGGGGGTCTTACATAAGGCAGGATCTTTTAGTTTAACTGGATAATGTGGGCCCAATGTTAAGGACTGTCCAATAGGAATATGCTTTGGACTTAGGGTGAAATACCATCAGCCAAGCCAAAATGAGCCACGATCCTAAAGATCTAAATGCTTATTTAATTGAGAAAATCTCATTAGTACAGCAAACAGCATTTAATTAGATGAACTATTACACAGCAGAAGTGTTATTATTGTTCTCTACTGGACAGGCTTGAGTCTGGGCTTAACATATCTGGCTATCTGACAGACCCTGCTGTGCATGATAGGATAGCCTAAGCCCAAACTCAAGAACTCAAGCCTGTCCACCAACATGTCCAACATGAACAAAACTACCGAACTAACTGAGTTCACGCTCGAGCTCGAGTTTACCTGCGCATGATCTGGACCTCCATATCTTCAGGAAGAGGATAATAATCGCCACGAGATGCGACACGTCACCAGCCAGACGAAACACATTCATCCTGGCTTTGGCTTGGTTGTTTTCTGTCTCCTGAAGGAAAAGTGTCGGCTGCTAGCTTTGCTCTGCTTAGATTCTCGCGCGGGCGTCTGTGGCTTTTAGCGGGTTTAGCTTCTGTGGCGTTTTCAGCTTCGCTCCGTGCAGATTTCCAGCACGTCTCCGGGGCGCAGGGCTCATGCAGCTCTCCTCGCTGTTTTCTTTTCTGCAGCTCGTGCCCCCTTCCCTCACTCCGCTCCCCCGTGCAGATTCCAACAGCCTTCTCCTTTTCTTCCTCCTAATTCCCGCAGCTCGTGTCGCTTTTTAGGTTCTGAATGACGCGTCACTAAACTGGAATGGCTGGAATGGGCGCGCGCGTGTTCAGACGTCCCCGTTTGATGTCCTGTGTTTGATCTCCGCGCTCCATGTAGTGCCGGTCCGTCTGAGGTCGGTGGGTGACGTGGCCGCGTGCAACGTCACTGAGTGCGCCGACAGAAACTAACTAAATAAATAAAATGACAGCGCAGTTCTGTTAAAAGGGGAGGAGTGCGAGCGCTTTAAAGGGGCGGTAAAAGAGCTGCGTCCAAAACCGCGAAGACCTCCACTGTAAACTGTACACACTACATACACACACACGCTGCATTATTGTTTAACGTTATTTTTTATTTTACTATGTTTTAAATACACGTTTTAGATTTTTTGCTTTCACATTAAAACCTTTCCCCCCGCTATATTATCATCACCATCTCTCTCTCTCTCTCTCTCTCTCTCTCTCTCTCTCTCTAGCTTTATTACCATGACTGTGAAGTACAGTATTGCTACAGCATCAGAACGAAATGAACAATGAACACAGTAATGAAAACGAAATAAGATAAAAAGAACTAAAACAAAAATAACCATATTCATTGTTATAATTGCAATGTTACAATATTATTATCATTGTACTTTTAATTACACTTATTAATAAACAAATGATATATTTCTAATTTCTCTCTCTCTCTCTCTCTCTCTCTCTCTCTCTCTCTCTCTTTATTTTACTGCCGTACTGGTCTGATATAGTCCGGTCTCCGCAGAGGTGAATAGCCTGGTAAGCACACTGTATTTACATTTTTGTTTAATTAAATTAACAGGTTTGTATAACTTGAATTTGATATGCAGTGTCAGTCATTGCCACGTTCGCAGCTAATTTTCTTTCCCTCAATAGTAGCCTACTAAAAGCTAAAGCATCCGGGTATTGCATCTGACTGCTATCATTACTTTGACAATGGCTATGTTTACATGCAACGATTTTTGCCAATCCGATTGAATACAATCCGATTACAGATTTAGACTGAGGTGTTTATATGCACTCTATTCAACAATCTGATGAAAAATCTTCGTTTACATGCTCACTACAAGTAATCCGATGCAAAATGACGCGCATGCGTGGAGTAGCGCTTAGAGTAAACGTTACCATGACAGCGAACATCACGTGAGGTCCAGACCAGTTTCTGCTCCGCCATGTTGAGCGGTGTAAACTTTCGCCGACGCGACGCACATGCGCAGAACATACTTACACGTTCCGATTGGAATGTAATCGGACTCAGGCGTTTACATGACTATTATTCTTCTATTTAACGGATTATTTAGAAGTTATACATTTCTTTAAACTCTGTCTGCCTCACTGACAACCATAACTGACTACATACTGTTGTTATATGGAGATAATGATTTTTTTTTACCTGACCAGAATATAAAAGTCTTTTATTTTGTTTTCTTTTGGGATTCTAAAGGCTTTCTGAGTAACATGGTGTAGGTTTATAAAATCACATCCTTCCTGTTTTTGTCCTTTTTTTTTTCCACACGCATCACCTGGTGAGTGTGTGTATAATTCCATATTCATACACAACCTTAAGAAAAAAATAAATTAATAAAGCCAGTTTAGATTTTATGGATTTTATAAAAATTATTTGCATACAATATAACAAGTGCTTTAATGGCAACAGCATGAAAGAATGGAACTGCAATCTGCAATGCATACAGTGAGAGTAAGTGAATACACTTGCACTGGACACACTGGATACTATTTTTTTATCATTCAAAGTTGATAATTTTATGAATAAATTATTTTCAGATTTCTTCCTATATTCCTAAAACAGGTATTAGTTTCCTTCCTCTGTATGCATTGCAGATTAAAGTCGTATTGTCATATAAAGCAACAAAATGATTTTCTGATTTTTTGATCTAGTGTTTACATCAAAAGTTATCTTTTGGAGAACCAGTTCTTTGGAAAAAAGTTTTTAAATCAAAGTAATTTTGACATTTCTGTAATTAGGAGTGAAACAGAAGTTTTTTGTGTAAAATGTTTTTTTTTATAAGCTGGTCTTCATCCACAAAGATGGTGAGATGTTACAAAGTATTGCCTTAATCAGATTATAGATACTGTATTTACGTTGTTATGATGTCTCCAGTTAAAGTCATATGTTTACATACTACTTCCCCACAGTCATTTAAACTCAGTTCTTCACAATTCCTCACATTTAATCCGGCTCTTAGGTCAGTTAGCATCACTACTGTATTTAAAGCATGTGAAATGTTAAACTAATACTAGAGACAACAATTTATTTCAGCTTTTATTTATTTTACCACTTTCCCATGGCTCAGAAGTTTACATACACATGGTTTATGTTTGGTAGCATTGCCTTTAAATTGTTTAACTTCAGTCAAACATTTTATGTAACCTTCCACAAGCTTCTCACAATATATTGCTGGAATTTTGGCTCATTCCTCCTGACAGAACTGGTGTAACTGAGTCAGGTTTGTAGGCCTCCTTGCTCGCACATGCCTTTGCTGTTCTGCCCATACATTTTCTATGAGATTGAGGTCAAGGCTTTGTGATGAGAAGCTTCTGAAGTCTTGATATTGTTTTCTGGAATTTTCCAATCTATTTAAAGGCAAAGTCAACCTAGTGTATGCAAACTTCTGACCCACTGGAATTTCATAAAAACTAAACACATTAAATAATAATTTTCTGGATATTTGTATAAAAAGTAGAGAGGCCAGGGGGCCACTATGACATTGTAATTGGGATTGGGAGAAGATAAACGTGTCCTGATTGGATATTAAATTCAATATGATAGAAAAAAATGGTCAGTTTAGATCCAGAGTTGTTCATTTTTAATGTACAACCACAAAATTGTTCATTAACACTACAAATTACACTGTTGTCCTACAGAGGGAGCCAAAGCTGCTATAGCCTCTCCACCTAATCTCTCTCTCTCTCTCTCTCTCTCTCTCTCTCTCTCTCTCTCTCTCTCTCTCTCTCTCTGTCTCTCTCTCTCTGTTTCTTCTCTCTCGATCTACTCTCTCTCTTTTACTTCTCTCCCTCTTTCTCTGTCTCACCTCTCCTTCTCTGTCTCTCTCTCTCTCTCTCTCTGTCTCTCTCATTATATTTGTCTCTCTCCCTCTCTCCTGCTCTTTCCTCTCTCCTCTCCCTCTATCTCTTATTTCTTTTACCCTTCTCTCTCTCTCTTTCTCTCTCTCTCTCTCTCTCTCTCTCTCTCTCTCTCTCTCTCTGTGTTTCCTTGAGCGAATGGAAAATCTCAGTCGGAGGATTGCAGAGCTGAGTCCAACCACACCTGCTAAACACACACACATGCACATACTATAACAGTCCACACTCACACAACTGCAGTGGGGTATGAGCGTGGAAAGTCCTTATAGGAAAGTCTGTCCACTTATCCCAATGTTAGTAATGTCCACAAGGAAGTATCTACTCTTCAGCCCAAAGTCCCGCTGTCCTAATCAAAGTCCACAAAGTCCTTGTGTGCATGCACAGTTGTGGACTGCAGGACCGCCAGTGTACCATTTAGGACTGGGCATTAGAAGAATCCTGTGTGCTTAACTGAAGAGAGACCAATAAACCCAAAATTGATAGCCAGGGTCATGTTTCAAAAACATATTAAGAGTCGCTCCCAAATTTTGACAAATCACATAAACAGTTTGTGGTGTTTTGCTCAAATAACACACAATAAACTCTACTACGCTACTGTGCATGAGTTTATCTCCAGAATGATGTTGACTTTTTCCCGCTCATGCATTTCCATACATGTTGAGTGTTATGAGTTATTCCATTCAGTCTTCAACCAGTGAACTCTCTCCTCCTCCTATTATAGAGCATGGTGCCTGCAGCAAGACCACACTCGTGTGACAAGTGATGTCTTTTTTTATGATGTTACGAAACAACAGAAGCTGTGTTACCCCTACACAGCCCTGTACACTCCAAAAAAACTGTACAGAAACTTACTGGCTGCACAAAACTGTATACACTGAGAGCAATATATTACTGTAAGCAACATTATCTTATTTTCTGTTTTTATTTTTAATGGAAAATACTACAAAGACTGTTGAAATTGAGAAATTTTATTGTTTTTTGAAAAATATATACCCATTTTGAATTTAATGCCAACAACAAGTTGGGACTGGGGCATGTTTACCACTGTGTTTCATCACTTTTCTTTTGACAACACTCTCTAAGCATTTGGGAACTGAGGAAATTGACTGCTATAGTTTTGAAAGTGAAATGTTTTCCTGTTCTTGTTTGATATATCTGCTCAGGGTCTCCTTTGTCGTATTTTTCATTTCATAATGCACCAAATGTTATCAGTGGCTGACAGGTCTGGACTGCAGGCAATTTAGCACCAGGACTCTTTTAATACAGAGCAATGCTGTTGTAATACATGCAGAATGCATGTGGTTTTGCATTGTCTTGCTGAAAAAATCAAGGCCTTCCCTGAAAAAGACATCGTCTGGATGGCAGCATATGATGGCAAAACATGTATATATCATTCAGCATTAATGGTGCCTTCACAGATGTGCACATCACCCATGCCATGTGCACTAATGCACCTCTATACCATCATTAAAACTGGCTTTTGAACTGTACACTGATAACAAGCTGAATGGTTTTAACCCAGAGGATGCAGCGTCCATGATTTCCAAAAAGAATTTCAAATGTTGATTTGTCAGACCACAGGACACTTTTCCACTTCCCCTCAGTCCATTTTAAATTAGATCCGGCCCAGAGAAGGTGGCGGTGTTTCTGCATGCTATTTATGTACAATTTCTTCTTTGCGTTTTAGAGTTTTAACTTCAACTTTATAACTTTTAGACCTATAACTGTTTTCACAGGCAGTGTTTTTCAGAAGTTTTTCTGAGCCCGTGCAGTGATTTCCACTAGAGAATCATGTCTGTTTTTAATGCAGTGCCGCCTGAGGGCCCAAAGATCACAGCCAGCAAATACTTTTTGGCCTTGTCCCTTGCATATAGAGATTTCTCCAGATTCTCTGACTCTTTTATTGTTATTATGTTCCGTAGATGATGAAAAGCAAAATTTCTTTGCTATTTTATGTTGAGAAACGTTATTCTTGAATTGTTGCACTATTTGATCGTGCAGTCTTTCACCAAGCGGTGAACTCCTCCTCATCTTTACTTCTGA